TGTAAAGAAATTCTAAGAAAAATAAATAAAAAAATTGTTTTTCCAGTAAAAATAAATTGTCTACACACGATAATAAAAATAGAAGAAGAAAAAATAATATAGGAAAAGTGAAATATCTGAAAGTAGTGTTAATTAAAAGAATAGGGAAAAATGAAATTTGTCTTGAAAATTTCTTTTCATTTTTCACACCGCTCTCATGTATGTCGAGGACGAAAGTCGATAAAGCAGCAGGATATTGACCTATTTCAAGTGCTCATAGATAAAAGCATGAAAATGTCAATAACAAAACGATTATTTGGAAATGAATTGTTAAAAAAATATAAATTAAAAAAGCAGTAAATTTATAAAGAGAAAGTTCGTATACAAATCAAAGAAAATTTTTTTTTTGCTTCTACTAAATTTTAACAAATTAAATTTTTTGATTTCTTAAATTTTTAAATTTTAGTAAAAACGTTATTTTATTGTATAATTTATAATTATTATTTGTTGTATTACATAACAATTAATTTCGCTATTATTATTATTATATTTTAAACTTAAATATTGTAAAATGGTTTTCAAATAAATAAATAATTTAAATTATAATAGTGTTAACTGTAAGTAATGAAAAATAAATTTAAACAGTAAAACAAGAGCGTATAAAATAGAAAAGGGAATAAAAGAAAAATCATTAACCTTTTATAAATTCGTGTGTGCTTTTAAAAGACAAACATTTATTTTAAACGAATTGAACATTTAACTAAAGAAATGATTCATTCATTCAAAAAAAAAGTCTTTGTGTTGAACAAACATTTTTTAAATAGTACATTTTATAAATCTGTTTTACATAATTTTCTATTTTAATCGAAATTAATTGGCTGTTAATTACTGCTATTTGTCTTTTGCAAAAATTTTTTTTATTTTCCTTCCAATGAAATGAATTATTTTCATTTAAAAAATTTTTAACAACAAACATTATTTTTAATAAATTTAATTTCAAACAATAAAGGTAATAATAAAAATACTAATAATGATAATAATACCTAAGAATAAAATTAAATAATAGTTTCGTGTACAAATTCCAAAAAGTCTTGTTTGAAAAAAAAAATTTGTTGTAAAAGTAAGAAAAATAGTACTGTTCCGCAAATATAATTGTTGTCAAGCAAAGAGAGTGAGAGAGACAGAGAGAGAGAGAGTAATATTTTCTCCGTATATTATAAGCTCGCTAAATAACTTGAAAAGTACAAATTGACAGAAGAAAAAGGAGTGTCATTATTTTTGCAGTTGACAATTATTGTTGTAATTGCTGGTTCAGATCTTTTAAGTCTTTGAGTTCGAGACTAATGAACTTTTCTGAGTAAAAGTTGCTCTTGTCAATGGATTCATAGAAGCACACAGTGCGCGAGCGTGCCAGAAACAGTAAAAGTCGAAGAAGCGCAGGCTTCACTGAGAGAAAGAGTGAGAGAGTGAGTGAGAGAGAGAAGAGGTTTACAATTAAATATTTATTTCGTGAACATCAGTGCAGTGTTAAGAGAGAGAGAGAGAAAGAGAGAGAGAGAAAGAGAAATGCAAAGAGAGGGTGTAACTTTCACAGATGAATATATTGACCAATCCCAACTTTAATAATGAAGGGGGATGATGATAAATACACATCGCATACAGTTAATACCTACTCAATCAAAAATATATATATATTTATAAAGACTTATTTGTTAAAAGGTGTCGTAACCAGATATCAATATTGACGTTTATTACCACAGGAGCGTAATTATTTTTCTCCTTTTTATTAGTTACAAAAAAAACATAACTGATCATTTCTTCTCCACTGAATTATTCAATTTCATTTTTTTCAATTTTTACTTCCAGTTTATAAAACAGTAAAAATTAATAGTTCATAATTGATAAATAAAATAATCGATTTAAAAAAAACTAAAGAGAAAAAATATTTCCAGAAAAAAAACTACTTGGAAAAATATTAAAATCGATTTTAAAAAGTTTTACACAAAAAACTCAAAATAATAATAATAATAATAATTGAAAGAATTAAATGAATCAAGTTGCGAACAAATTTTCAAATCACAAACGAAATAGATAAAATAAAATTTTCTTCTCATTTTACGTCACGGTTCACTTGCGCCATTTGGCATATAAACACTAGTCGGAAATAAAAAAGACAGAGAGAGGAAAAAAGGGATAACCGGACACAAAGTATGTACCGTCGTTGTATTTCCATCGGCGATTCACTTGCACGTGGACGTGTCACCACATACAAGTAAAGTTTCGATGTCATCGTGTAGAAATATAACTCTTATGGAAAGAGAAGTTAAATAGAGCAATGAGAAAGAGTTTTTTTTCACAAAAAAAAAAAAAAAGAGAATAAAAAGCAAAATCACCCGCAAGAAAACTTTTTTCGTGATATTGCTCATTTTCTTTCTCTTTCTCACACGGCTCAAATCTCAATTTAAACGGAAGTCATTCAAAGATCTATTTCCAGCAATTTCATGATCAGATTATGCCTTAAGAAATGGGGGGGAAACACACACACACATACACACGAACACTCTTACAAGACAAAATTGGAATCGTTCGTGTTGGAAAATTCAACAAAAATTTTCACTCTGAAGTTGATTTGATTTGACATTTATGGAAGGGAAACGAGTAGGAAATTGCAAAGACGAGAAAAATTTCAAATAATAAAAGTAATTTAAGATAATTTAAGCATGTGAAAAAAACTTTTTATGCACACCACTTACGAAAAAAAATACACTGATGTACTTTTAGGGACAAGAATTTTCTAAAAACGAGTCTTAAATGAATGACGTTTAAACACGAGAGTGTACTAGAGGGTAAACGCCACACTCCTATTGTTCTATTCTCGTGGGCGAAAATAACTTTCGGGGAAAGTTTTAATAGCTAACAAAAAGTAGCTAGTTATTTTATTTCAAGAAAGAAAGAAAGTTTAATCAAATTAATTTGTTTTAAATTCAAAATACACAGTATAGACCCTGTAAAAAAATCATTTTTTTCAATTTTTACATTTATTTTCAAAAATTAAATATATATTAGAAAATAAAAACTTGAAATAATTTCAAAAAAGTTCCATTAAACTTTTAAAAAAAACTAAATCTACACAATTTTCAGTTAAAAGTATGAAAAATTCAAACTTTCAAAGATTATAATTTGAAACCTTTTCAAAATTCAATTATTTCTAAAAATTCACGCTATAATACTTTCTCTTTAAATTTAAATTAGTAAAAATGTTTACTATTTTGGAATTAGTGACTGACTTTTTGCTTTTGAATTTATCAACAAATTTTTAAATAATTAAAATTCTTTTGACGAATTTTAATAAAATTTTTAAGAATAATTTCCATTTTCGAGAAATTAGATTAAAATTGCATTAAACATAATCGAATCTCTGTAAAAAAAAATATTTGATTGAATTGAGAAAAGTTTTTGAAAATAATTGAAATTTTGCCAAGAATTTTATTTCATTTTTTGAAAATAATTGAATTTTGAAGAATAATTTTATTATTTATAAAGATAATTGAAATTTTGACGAGAATTTTTTTTAAACTTTTGACCATAATTGAATTTTTGTGAAGAATTCTATTACTTATATTGCTTTAAAATAATTGAATTCATTTATGAAATTTTATTGAAATATGTAGATATTAAAAATAAATTGAATTTTGATAAATTATTGAAATTAATTTAATTCTACGAAGAATTTTATTAAAATTACTTTGAAAAAAAATTGAATTGTTAGAAAGAATTTCATTAAAATTTTTGAAAATAATACATAAATTATAGAAAGGTTTTTTAAAATAATTGAATTTTTTTTTTATGAATTATAATAAAATTTTTAAGATTAATTACATTTTTCGAGAAATTCCATTAAAATTGTATTAAAAATAATTGGAATTCTGCGATAATTTTTATTATTTATGAAAATAATTGAATTATTGCAAAGAAATTTATAAAAAAAAAAATTGTAAATAATAGAATTGAAATTTTCTAAAATTTCAAATTAAAACCTTTTGAAGTTCACCTATTTATGAAAATTGTAAACGCAACTCTTTTAAAATTCAATTAATTTTAAAATATTTAAAAGTAAAATTAGATTTCAAGAATAAGCACAATAACTTTAGAAAATAATAATTTTCCAGGATTCCGATCAAAATTCCCTGACTTTTTCAGGTTTTTTCAAGGTTTATAAAATTCCCTGACATTTCCAGGTTTTCAGGTTGCATGACAACCCTGAGATAATAATAATAATAATAATAAAATAGAAATTTTATTTGTGTAAAGTAACGAAAGAAAACAATTTTCTTTAGAGAAAATAAAAAATTTTTCCGAAACATTACATAACCTCAAAATTTATGAAATATACAAAAACATACCATTATCTCTTGATCTTGTTTTTATGTACACTCGACGATAATATAGTTACTATTTTGTCACTAAAAGAGCGTTAAACATTCAAGCAAACAATTATCAATGACTTTGCAGGAAATAGTTTGAGCAGAAACTATTATGCACCCGTTTGTTGGAAAATGTACACTAGATATTTAAAATGATAATGAAACATTAACTTACTGCTTGTCCTCTCCTCTCCGAATATTGAGGTAAGAAAAATTACTCGCCCACTAAATAATTCCGACTTACGAGAATGAATTGGATGACAATGGTTAGTAACATAAAATTGTCGACATGCCCTTGTTGACAATTTTAAACAAAGATGATGAGTTGACAAAAGAATTTGAAAATAATGTTAAATCAGAGCAATGGGTATAGAAACAAAAGACATTGAATCGACCCAAGTTGGTCGGTAAGGAAGATTTGACAGGTGATGATTGTTGGAAGAAGCAGGGACCTTAGAGAGGCGTCTAGGCGCGTAAAGTTCGAAAGCAAAGATTAAAAAACGAAAGGATGGGGTTTTAATTTGATAAAGTGTGTTAGAATTGTACACGAATCAATTGATTATATAGGAGGTTAGGAAAGTTGTTAAAGGTACTCACTGCTTATTTTCATGCCACCCAACGGGGGATTCGCAGGTGGCTTGTTCCCCTCGGCGAAGGAGGTGGTCCTCGGTCGCCCGCTCATCCTGACTTGTCCTCCTCCACCAGGCACTTGGCCTTCTGGATATCTGACCTGTCACTTGTTTTTGATACCGGTTAGCACTCGCCACGACTACTCGACGTGCAAATCCTGACACGCAAGTACGCGTGGAGATTCCTTATACCTCGTTACCACCTCGGACATCAATGACAGCACGATATTCACATCGCGCGTACGCCCCGTGTTCCGTTATTCTGTCGCGCCACTCAAAGAAGAATCAGCTTTTCCTCAAGGGCTATGTAAATCACTGTTCACAAATTTTCCAAAGAAAGAATTCAACTATTATGAATAGAGGAAGTCTCCCGAGACACGGAAATTCTTCCTGGGGAGGGTCGACGCAGAGCAGGAGCGGTCCCTAATAACCTAGAGGGGTGCACCGCGAGGGGAGCAGGGTCAACGTTTTTGATTCGGTTCGTAAAGCAAGCACGTCTGCTATATAGCACAGTCGACGATCTTTCTCTATCTTTCTCTCTCGGATTCACTCCCTGTCCCACTCTCTTCCTCTTTGTTCCTCTCCCTCTTTCTCACTCTGGCCTGGGTTGGGTTTCTTTGGGGCGACGTCGCCGCTTCCAGCAGGGCTCCAATCACGCAGAAGCGTATATTGAAATTAAAATACAAAAAGAAATTATTATTCTTCTTTTTTTCACACTAGGTTAATGGAAATCACGTTGGCGCTTCGCGGCGCGATCTCTACGATGATCCCTTCCACTCCTCCATGAATCTTTCGTTGCAATCGGGTTCCGCTTCCTTTTCGTACACCTCAGTGCACTTCTGTTATTTCTTTATTTTTTCACCAAATTCACTCGGGATTTCTTGTATTTTATTATCCTATCAGTCGCGTTTGCATTCAGAGCTCACGTATACCATTTTTTTTACGCGGAGGCGACAGACATGAAATGTAACGCTCGACAAGTATACCGTTTAGGTACGTGGAAGTGAAAGACGTTTCCGACGTCGTCTTCTGGATGTACTTACACCCAGACACACTGTTCACACTCGCGAACGCGATAATTTGCGTTCTAAAGAACCACGCGAGGTCAACGCGGAAACATCCTCACCGTACACGGGAACACCACACCAATCACGGATTTTTCGAAGACTTCCCAGACATTGACCCGTTCGGGGAAGATCGGAACACTCGAGCGTTAACGAATTTGGCCGAATGTGACGTCAACACCGAATGAAGAGTAAAGGCCAGGGTTGTGTCACTGGAAATTTTAAACTACCACATGTAACAAGCGTAAATTAGCGCTAGTTTACGTCTAGCAGAGTTAAGCCTCATTCACAATTCTTTCCATCTACATTACAAGTCAAACCTCTAAAATATGACACTCCCTTTACCTATCCAAAAGTGCCTTTGATTGGTGGACAACCTCTCCGGAAAGTCACCAACTAATAGAAAGTACGTATTCTTTATCAATATAATAAATGACAATTTACTTACCCAACTCTGTTCCGAATGACAGATAGCGAATGTAAAACGCTGCAATTTCTGAAAATTAGAATTTAATTTTGTATAAAGTACTTAAATTTTGATTTAACAGTAATAGGTAATTAGTTTGCAGAATAATGTCCTCAGAACATTTAGAGAAAGATTTAGATTTAAGTAATGCAGGTCGAGGTGTTTGGTTAGTAAAAATTCCAAAATATGTAGCTAATAAATGGGAAAAAGCTCCAGGACACATAGAAGTTGGTAAATTGAAAATAAACAAGTAAGTAAACATAAATTATTAACAAACTAATATAATTTTAAATTTGTAATTTTCCTGTCTCGTGTGAAATTGTTTATACCTATTTTAATTCACATTTTTCATGATTTTATTTATTTTTTTAAGGGTAAGGGTACACCTGTATTTTTAACTGTGCCGAGAAAATAATTTAAATATTCCATAAAATTATTTTTATGGTAATTTTTTGTGAGGAATTAAATGGTCATAAAATAATTTGACACTTTACAAATTTTAATTCTTCTTAAAAATTGTCAAATTTTGAAATCCATTCGTAATTTTGTAGAAAATATATTTTTGAATGTATACAAAAATTGTCAAATAAAGAAATTAGTTTTTACAATTTTTGAAGCATTTTTTGGAAAATAAAACTTTGTTTTAGGCTAAAAAAATAATTGCTCTTAAGGGCATTTGAACCATTATGACGTCACAGTTTGTTCAAAGCATTTGTTCTAAATATGTGACGTCATAATGGTTCAAATTCCCTTAACAATTTTTGATTTAAAAATTCATTCGTTTATTTTTCTAACTACTTAATTTCATATCATCATTTTTTTGTATTTTTTAGGATTTTCAGTCTAAAAACAATGTTTTATTTTCAAAATATTGTAATTAAAAATATCGGTGTAGGTATCCTCTCTTTAAAAAAAAAGATTATATTTTTTAATATTGTAATTTTTTGTCCCATGTACATAAGTTAATTCACATTTTTCGTAAATAAATGAAAAATAGAACTTTATTTAGAAAAAATAAAACTGTAAATAAAATTGTTAATTTGATTGTACTTTTTTCTTTCGCTAGAAAACCTGGACAGAAAGCTGAAGTCACTTTGAGTTTGTCTGAAGCTGTGATGGTAATGAAAGATGCAGAGGAAAAAGAAATTCCAAAAGAACTTAAATTAGATGTTTCGAGTGTAACTGGTCAAACACTAGGTGTCTTTTCTCATATTCCCAGTAAGTATGTTTCTGGTTTTGAACGTTCAAATGAATGGCGATATTTTTCTTGAAACTTTGTATTCTATTAGAAAATTATTTTTAATATTAAGAAAATTAATTCTTAATTATTTTTGTTTACATTATTTTCTATTTCATTCAGTAAATATTTAAAAAATAGTAAAACGATAAAAAATGTTCCTTCATTTGAACGTTCAAAACTTTAGAAAAATTAGTATAAACATAAATTAATTGCAGTTGATAGAAAATTTAATAATTTAATTTTTTTTCAGAGTCAGCCACATCAGAAGATGTTGTTCCAGAAATAGAGAAACTTTTCATGGAAGGAAGAATAGTTCAAAAATTGGATTGTCGTCCATTTGGTAAAATATACTAAAAATTTTATACACTTAAAACTGGAATGAAAAATGTAATTTAAAACACTTTTTTAAAAAATTATAATGAGTACCTAATTTTTTATTTCAGCTGACAAAGTCTATATGAAACTTAAGGAAGAAAGTATTAAGAAAGCTTCTATTCCCAGAAGACAAGTTCAACAATTAGACAGAGTTGTTCAGAATTTCAAACCTGTGTCTGATCATAAGCACAACGTAAGTAGTTGTTTTTAAATTCTTTAAATTAATTTAATTTTAATTAAAAAACTTTAATGTTTTCTTTATTTTTATATGACAATATTTAAAGTATTTGATAATTTTTTTTAGATTGAATATGCAGAGAAGAAGAAGGCCGAAGGAAAGAAAATGAGAGGAGACAAGGAAGCAGTCTTGGACATGTTGTTTGCTGCTTTCGAAAAACATCAATATTACAATATTAGAGATTTAGTGAAAATCACTCGACAGCCAGTTGTAAGTTTTTTCCCTAAAAAGCTTTTTTTCGAAAAAATGTACCATTTTCAATGGATTAGAAATTTTTATCTATATTCTATTTTCTAAATACTACAATAAAAACAAAACAATTTTTTCTAGGTGTACCTGAAAGAAATTTTAAACGAAGTATGTAACTATAATTTAAAAAATCCGCATCGAAATATGTGGGAATTGAAACCAGAATATAGGCATTATAAAGACGACAAAAAAGTTGGTGAAAGCAGTACCAAAGATGACTCAGATTAAATAAAAAAATTGCCTTTTCTAGTGACATAATATATTAAAAAAAAATGTTAACAATCCATTTTCTCTTCTATATTCTAGGAAAAAAAGAGATTATAATATCGTTATTTTTATAAGACTGTAATTATTATTAAAGAAAAAAAAATATTAAAGAAAAATAAATGACCTCTTTTAAATTGAATCGTTTCGTTCATATCTTACCATTCGAAAAATACTCCATCAACAAAAATTAATCATTTTTCTATTGTTTATTCTTTGCATCGATTGCTCTTAAAATTCAATAGTACAATTTTCAAAAATCACTCTTAACATAATTATGTCTCCTAAACCAGTTTTTTTTAAAATACAAACATTTTAATTTATAATAGACAAAACATAACAAATTAGCATAATAATAAAAAGTTTGTAAAATTAAATTTTAAATAAAAAATCTGTAAAATTTTATAAAAAGTATGGCAGAAATATCATTTAAAATATCATTTTTTTCGGAAGACAAATTGTAAAAATTATTTTCCTCTCGAAAAGTTGTCTTCTTAAAATTGATAACGGACGATAAAACTTTCTTGTTTTTTGATTAGTATGAAATAAATATTTTAAACATTGGCGAAGGCTTGAAACATTAACATGGGATGACAGCCACATAAAACTTTCATATATACACGTTCATTTGCTGGAATAAAAATCACTGAGCCACGATTTAGTACTTTCGTTGTGGAAAACGTAATTTCCGCTTTTCCGTTCACTATTATTAAAATACTTCCCACTGATCTTTCAATTAATGTATAAGATGCTCTACCAGGGGGAATCTATAATTCCAATTTGAAAATAATTATATGAAAATAGAATTAAAAATTAAAATAAATCATTATTATAATTATGCAAAACCATATTTTTACAATAAGGAATTTTTAATTCCAAATTTTTAGAAATATTATTCTAATTTTTACTCATAGTTTACAGAATTTAGTTTTTAAAATCAATTTACTATTTTTCAAATTAAAAATAATAATAAAAATTAACAATTAGTATTTACAGGGTTACTACAAAAATTTTATTATACTTTTCCCTGACTTTTTCCTGATTTCCAGACAAAATTTCTATAAATGCATTCTTTTTAATAATTTTTGAAAAAGTTCTTTAAGAATTTCCAAATCCATTTCTTCAGAATTCAATTTTACGGAATTTCGATTATTCGGAAATGAGAATTCAATTATTTAAATACAAAAATAAATAATTGAATAATTCTGAAAATTAAATTCTCATAAAGAATTTTATCAACAGATATTTAAATAATTGAATTCTTTTGACGAATTTTAATAGAATTTTGAAGAATCTAATTTTATTCTTTTGAGAAATTCGATTAAAATTGTATTAAAAATCATTTAAATTAGCAATAAATTTTATTATTTATTAAAATAATTGAATTATTGAGAAGAAATTTATAAAAAATTTGTAAATAATTGAATTCCTGAGAAATTTTTATTATTTATGAAAATAATTAAATCTTTGCGTAGTATTTTATAAAAAGAATTTTTAAATAATTGAATTCATTTGGAAAATTTTATTAAAATAGGAGATATTGTTTGGAAAATGATTGAATTTCGGAGAGAATTTTATAATTTATAAAGATAATTGGAATTTTGACTAGAATTTCTAAAAATTTTTGAACATAATTAAATTTCTTGCAAAGAATTTTATTAATTTTGAAAATAATTGAATTTCTACAATCATTTGTAACTTCTTTAAAATTCAATTTTTTTTAGTGTTTTTAACACAAATTCTTCCGTAAATCCAATATTTTTAATAATTAATTAAAAAAATATTTAAAAAATTTAATTAATTATTTCATTAATAAAAATATTTAAAAAACTTAACTAATTTCAGAAGAATTTCAACTATTAAACTTTTTTCCAAAATATAAGTTCTTTAAAATTTCTAATTAAATTCATTCAACATTGAAATTTTATAAAATTTCAAATTAAAACTGTTTGAAGTTCATTTATTTATGAAAACTGTAAACTCAATTCTTTTAAAATTGAATTAATTTTGAGATATTTAAGTAAAATTATTCATTAACTAATTTATTTATTTTATGATAGTTGTTCAAGATTTAAGTTATTTAAAAAGAAATTTTTGTCAGAAATTGAAAAAATTGTAGGATTTGTATTAGAATTCGTGGTAATTTCATATAGTTTATGAGACAAACAAAAAAGACACCAAAATTTTCTTATAAATTTAAAAAATTTAATTTTTTCCAGTACTTTTAATAAAAATCCCTGACTTCCCTGACCAGCAGCAACCCTGATTTACTAATAGTTAATTTAATGTTTAATCAACTATTTACGATATTAATAAATTAGGAAAAATAATTTATAATTTTGTTTATTAATTGGCTTTTCCACGAAAAAGCGGGCATTCTGTTCGTGCATCAGTACGATTAAATAAAGTTTTATATTTTTTTCTAATTATTATAGCGAATTCTTTTTTCAAGGTTGCCACAAAAATTTAATTTAATTTTTCCCTGATTTCCAGACAGAATTTTGACTTTTTCCCTGATTCATAAAAAAATTAAAATAGAATTAAAAATAAAATTGATTACTGTGGCAAACTTCCCTTGATTATTTTTTAAAATTTCGAAAAAATTCTATTGTTTTTAATAGGGGGCCGTTCAAAAGATACGTAACGCTTTTTGGGGGGAGGGGGGGTCAAGCTATTTGTTACGGTCAGCAGAAAAAATGCCGCTAATGTATACAACATTGCGTTACATGGGGGGAGGGGGGGGTCTAAATTTCCGAAAAATAGCGTTACGTATTTTTTGAACGGCCCCTAGAATTGTAGAAAATTTCAACTATTTTAAAAAATTGCAATAACTTGTTTATGAATAATATTAAAAAAACGTTTTTGAAAATTCAATATTTAAAAAAAATGTTAATTTATATCTTTTTAAAATTAGCTAATTAATAAAAATTCTAATTGTAATTCTTTCGTAATTAAATTATTCTATACACAATTCAAGACTTTTAATGTTTCTTTTTACACTAATAAACATTATGAATACAGATTCACAATAAAATATTCTGACTCTTTGTAAAATTCAATTCAATTATAATTTACCAATTATTAAATTAATAAAATTCTTTAAGATTTCGATTTTCTTTTAAATCTCTAATGTAATTCTTTAACAAACTAAATTATTTAAAATAAAATTTCCCAAAATTTCAATTAATTTAATAAATTTTTAAAATCTTTTTTATATTAATGAAAATTAATTAATTTTAAGAAAGTTATTCTAGTCATTATGGAAAATAAATTTAATTATTTACAGAAATAAAAATTTTAGTCATTGTTTTAAAATTCATTAAAAAGTTATTAAGGTGAAAAGAAATTAAGTTTTATAAGTTTTCAAAAATATTGTTGGACACCAAAAAATAAAGTTCTCGTATTAATTCCAGGATTAATTTTTGCAGTACATTTGATGAAATTCCTTGGCCCATTTCATTTTCTCTAATTTGTGGAAACCTTGTTTTTTAAAGAGATATTTAAGAAAATAAAGGAAAGTCCAATTTAGTTGTTAATTTTTAAGTGCAATATTTATGAAAAATATACCCTTTTTTAATATCGTGACGCACGGACAAGAATTCAATTGTTCTCGTGAAAATGATAAAATATTAAAAATAAAAATGAAATTACCGTTATTCTTGATACTGCAAAATCAGGTACAGGGGGTCGGAAAACTTCCGTGCAGTCGTCCTCTCGAGATGGTTGAAAACGTTTCGCGGAACTTGGTTCACATTTATAACTCAACAAATTTATTAAAGTATTAGTGTCCTTTAACTTGGGCGTTAGACCAGCCCTCACAACATTGTCGGAGCATGCCATACATTCAATGCAATCTGGTAAAAAATTGATAATATATTATTTTATATAAATAAAGTAAATTAACAACTTGTGTAAATTTAATAAATTTCAATAGAAATTCGAAATTTAAAATAAAAATGAGGAAATAATTTTCCTAAAGTTTTGGGAGTTCACAGTAACATCAATATTTTATTACAGCCAACTTTCGATAAATAGAATTTTATTCCTGGTTCCTAAGAAAAATTTTGATATTTAAATCATTCGATAAATAAAACCCTTGATAAATTGAATTTTACTATCAGGGTTGCAACTATATTTATATTTTACCAAATTAAATAATTCTAATAAGTTGCCGTACAAAAATTTTATTTCCCTTTCCCCTGACTTCCCCTTGATTTCCTGACAAAATTCTTACTTCTTTCCTGACTCTAAGGAATATTCTAATTCAGACTAAAAATTATTACTGAGAAAAATGTTCTATTACTTCTTTTTTAAATAAATCATTATTATTTTTCCATAAGAATTAAGATTTTCAAATTCAAATATCTGAACCTTTTTTGAAATTCAACAACTTCTAAGAAAAATATTATTATAAAACATGAAGATATTGATCATTCCGAGTAGCAAACTCGATTTCTTCATATTTTCTAATAAATAATTAAAGATGGCCGACTGGTAAAATCATTATTTTATATTATAAAAATATTGTTATTGCAACTTCTTCAAAATTATTTACATCATTTCAATTCAATTATTCTTTTCTAGAATTTCCAACTAAAATTCTTCTTTAAATCAATTACTTTTAATCATTTTTCAAAATGTTCTTTGACAATTTTCAAATCCATTTGTTTACAATTCAATTTTACAAAATTTCGATTAGGTATTCCAAAATTTTTCAATTAAATATATATTAGAAAATAAAAAATTGAAATAATTTCAAAAAAAATTCCATTAAATTTTTTCAAATAAATTAAATTTTAGTTAAAAGTATGAAAAATCCAAACTTTCAAAGATTATAATTTGAAACCTTTTCAAAATTCAATTATATCTTTATATCTAAAAATTCACGCTACAATACTTTATATTTAATTACAGTCGGGTCCCCATACTGTTACATTTCCAGAAATTTCCCACTCCTCCAGACTCAGCTCTGTTATGTGCTCAAAGTATGCCTACTGCGCACCTTTCAGGAACGTAAATATATACGCACCTCAAGTTTCGCCTAGAAGTATATGCCCCCTTTTCTTTGGGCTTAAGAATACGGCCCTGAAAATTGGTGACGTAACGTGACGTCACCTAACACTTCTGAATTTGGAGGTTATGCAAAAACATAACACTACTGAGGACATAACAGTTTGGAATCTAACAGTATGGGGACCTGACTGTATTATCTAAAATTTTATCTGAAATTATTCATATTTAAATCAATTTTTATTAGAAAATTCTATGAGAATTCAATTATTTATATACTAAAATAAATAATTTATTAAATCATGAATTTTTTCTCAGAATTGAATTCTCATAAAGAACTTTATCAACAAATTTTTAAATAATTAAAATTCTTTTGAAGAATTTTAATAACATTTTTAAGAATAATTTCATTTTTCGAGAAAATCGAATTAAAATTGCATTAAAAATAATTGAATCTCTATAAAAAATTGGATTATTTATGAAAATAATTGGAATTAATGGGAAAAAATTTGTAAATAATTGAATTCCTATGAAATTTTTATTATATTGGAGAATTTTATTATTTATTTATAAAGATAATTGATATTTTGACGAGAATTTTTGTACATTTTTTACCATAATTAAATAACTGCAAAGAATTTTATTCCTTTTGAAAATATTTGAATTCTTATTTATTTTTAAACAATTGAATTCTTTTGTGAAATGTTATTGAAATAGTAGGTAGATAATTAAAAATAATTGAATTTTTACAAATTATTGAAAGTAATTAATTTTCTATGAAGAATTTTATTAAAATTTTTGAAAATAATTTAATTCTTCCCTACTAAAAATAAAGTCACAAAACGACAAAAAAATCATCAGAATTTCTGACGTTCTGAGACTGCATTTGTTACGATTGCAGCCACATAACGTCAGGCTTGTGTCATTTTTCATCAGAAAACTTCAAAAGTAGTCAGATTTTTTATACAAAGTCGACACCCTCTTTTACCTGGAAAAAGGTCAACTGACCGTCATAAAATTGAAGGGAAATCTTTTTATTTGTTTATGTTTATATTTATTTAAACATTATACTTGTTTTTCATCGACTTAGAATTCTTCTCACAATATGTTCTTGTTATATAAACAATAATATATCCTTTAGAACTTAAATTCAAAAATGATATCAGTTTTTATTTATCAATTACGGTTTTCGAGATACGTTACAGTTTTCTTAAAAAAATGTTTTTTAAAATAAATTTTAGATATTTGCAATCGTGAAGATTTCTAGATTCTGAATTTATATTCATTTCACCTGAAATATTAAAATTGCAAAACTTTTGAGCAATAAAAATCAGGTTGAAGACCCGAAGCGCGTAACAATAGACCCAAAATTCTATTGTGAAAAAAGGGCTACGCACAAATTTCAAGTTTTTATGGTACTTTACATTTACCAACTATCTTTCGGTGGGGGACTGTAAATTAAAAAAATGAATTCAATGAGAAATAATCACAATCCATAAACATCAGTATTCAACAGTAGGAGCATAAAAAACCTTGTAGTCAGAATTAACCAAAAGCATCAGAAAACGTCAAAGTAGTCACAAAACATCAAAATTCTTCAGGAAACGTCAAAGTAGTCACAAAACATCAAAATTTCTGACGTTTTTTCATTATTCCTGATTTTATTTTTAGCAGGGTTTCATGAAATTTAATTAAAAATGAATTGAAAATAATACTTGAATTCTAATAAATAAATTATAGCAAAGCTTTTTAAGATAATTGAATTTCTTTGATGAATTTTAATAAGTTTATTAAGAATTTTCGAGGAATTCCATTAAATTGTATTAAAAATAATTGAAATTCTGCGATGAGTTTTATTATTTATAAAAATAATTAAAACCCTACAAAAAATTTGATTATTTATGAAAGTAATTGAATTATTGCGAAGAAATTTATAAAAAAAATTTGTAAATAATTGAATTCCTATGAAATTTTTATTATTTATGAAAATATTAAATGTTTGCGTAGAATTTTATTAAAATTTTTTTAAATAATTAAATTCTTTACTTTTGGAAAATTTGATTAAAATAGTAAATATTGAAAATCATTGAATTGAGGAAATTGTTTGAAAATAATTGAAATTTTGCCAAGAATTTTATTAAAACTTTAGATCATAAGAATAAGCTTTAGAAAACAATAATTTTCCAGGATTACGATCAATATTCCCTGATTTTTCCCGGTTATCCAGGTTTCCAGGTTGCGTGGCAACTTTGACTATGTTCCTTGAAATTTATTTTATCGAGACTCGACTGTATCTTATTTCCTATTTCATTAAAGTTATGAATGAACAAATAAACGAAATTTTTTTCTGTGCAAATATTTTCAAAAATTACTGTAGTGGATGAAAAAATAATGTCATTTACTTGATAAGAAATTAATTGTTTTTATGTAAAAAATATTTTTCATTTAATAATATACAAATTAAAATTAATAAAGTCGACTCTTGATAAATTGAATCTGAAGAGATATAGATGAAATTCAAATTATCGAGGGTTTTAATTATCGAATGTTTTAAGTACCAACATTTTTCCAAGGGATCAGAAAACAAATTCAATTTATCGAATGTTGAATTATGGACAGTTGACTGTACCTATAGTTTATAAATCATTTTGTCATAGGAGTTTAATTTTTTAATTTTTAATAATTAAAAAAATGTAATAATTACCTCCTGAAAGATAAGCGTGAGGCTCATTGGCACCAAGATACATTGCTTCACCTGGTTGTAAAGTTAGGTAATTAAAAAAATAAATACCAAAGCATCCTACATCACCTGGATAATCACTGTATAAACGTTCCAATAAATTTAAATTTAATAGCTGTCTGATGACTGGACCTGAATTCATTTGAAAAATTTAATTAAAACAATTTATTAAAAATACTTTACTTTATTTCACTTAAATAAATAAAATAGAAACGTTTTATTGTATAATTATTATTATTATGAGTGATTCTCTTGAAAGAAACGATTTCACGCTTCTAAAACTTGGAGTCCTGTCTCACCATTGACATAAATTTTTTATTGATATTTCCTTGAATTAGGTTGACGAAGTTAACAACGTTTACAATTAACGATTTAGAAGAATAAATAATCTTTTATTCAAACTTTTAGTATTAATAAATTTTTCACAATGTTTCTTGATCCAAAAGTCTAAAAAGAAAAATTTGTAAACGTAAAATATTGTTTTCTTAGTAAAAAATAGTATTTTTCTTTCAATCGTTGATAATCAACGTTGTTAACTTCACCAACGTTGAGTTTTCATTTTTCGAAAAATTCATTCAAGATTCATCAATTTTTACATATTTTTGTAAAGTATATATAGTATAAGTTTATTTTTAATTAAAAAATATTTAATTTTGTCTTCTAGTTTTACGCGGAACCTGGAACAGCGATAAGTTTCTCTAAAATAGTGAAAATATTAATTGAAGCGACTGAAATTCTCGGTTATAGTAAAATTTGTAGTTGTTCCAGGTAAATATTATATTTTTTTCCGTGCAGTTAAAACTATTGCTCAATTTATAACGATATTTTTAAGTAATTAAAAAAATTTTAATATAGTCTTATTATAATATAAAATCAAAGGTCTGAATCTAATGCTTATTTATCATACATATTTGTTTTAAATAAAATTAAAAAGAATATGTTTAAATTCTTAACTAAAGTTGTACTATCAGTGCGGGGAAAAATTCAAAATCATTTTAGTAGCCTCATTTTCTAGTTAATAATATTACATTTTTAAACGGTTTAATCATAATATGTAATTTATGCAAAAATATTTCAAGATGTAACCAAAAAATACTAAACTTATTCACATATATTTAAAAAAAAAATTTTTAATTTAAAAAAAACGTGCATTTTTTATCTACGAAACTGTTTATTTCCGAAGACTTCTTTCATATTTGGTGAGCATTTTTGTTTTATTTTTTATTTGTCAATAAACATTTTTTAAATATCTAATCTTCAAATTGAATGTGCCTATGAAATATTAAATATATTTTTTATTACGTAAGTATTGAAATTATGCACAATAATAAAAGGGTGACCGCTTTTTTCCTAAATAAAAATTCCCGGTCATAAAGAAAACTTCAAAAATTATTTGATAAAATTCCCTGACTTTTCCCTGAATTTCCTTATTTCCTTGACATCTGGCTTTTAAACCTATGGTTTTAAAATAAATGTTTCCATTTTTTCTCACAAAATAACCCTTGTTTTTATTACAAAAAAAACACTTTTTGATAAAAAAAAAATGAAAAATTTCCCGTCAAGAAAAAAAGTCCCTGTCATTTCCTGGTTTTCTCGGTCCAGCGGTCACTCTGAATACCTTATTTTATTTATATTTCAATATAGTTAATTTTATTATAAGAACGGTTTTAAAAGTCAAAATATTGTTGAAATAAAATAAGAAATTCGTTTAAAAAATGCTTTCTGCTTTAAAATCTCTAGAAAACAACATTAAAATGTTGCTGAAGATCGTATTGTTAGAAATTAATTTTGTGCAACTTATATTTTTATTTTTTCATGAATCTGTAACGTGTACCCATTTATCAGCACGCACTTCATTTATCAAAATTTGATATTGGTTTTAAACAAAAAAATATTTAACTTTAAAATTTAATTTCGAAAAGTAAGTTAAAAATAATAATGCTGTTATTATTATTAAATAATTAACAAAATAATAATAATAAATTATTAATAAAATACCGAAAAGTCTTACCCATACTGGATACTCTTTCAATGAACTTTTTTAACTGTTGTGCAACGACATTTTCATCGCAAGTCATAAGTTTCTGGAAGCACTTTTTTAAACTGAGATTAAGAGGCCCTTCGGATACTGTTGTAAATAATTCGAGAACAACGTCTTCTCCAATAATCACACTCAATTCTGGAATTAATTTCAGGTAATTTTTTATTTCTGAAACTGGACGGAAACCACAGAGAGCTTCAAATGGTGTCAGAGCAATAGCGAGCTCCGGTTTGTGATTTGAATCTTTATAAACACTCGGTTGTGATTTATGCAATTCTTCTGCTTCACTCTAAAAAAAGAAAAGAAAATTATAAGAATAAATCTAATAAATTTTACTTTTTATACTAGATTTAAATAAACAAATAAGATAAGGGTGGTCACAAGTTTCAGTTTATCAATTTTCTTGAAATTTCCCTGACAATTTACCGACATAAAAATTATTTTCCCTGACAAAATTTTTTTTACAGGAAAATATGAAAGTTTACTGAAAATGAGTAAACTTTATGGATTTTAATATTTTCTAAAAATTACCATATAATGTAAATATAAATCTAAAAATTACAATATAATAATTACAATAACCCTTCCTGAATTCAATTATTTTCTATAATTTTCAACTAAACTTCATCTCTAAATCAATTATTTTAAATAATTTTCCGAAAGTTCTTCGAGAATTAAATTATTTAAATACAAAAATTCAATTTTTTATAATAATTGTAGGGGAGATTCGGGTAACCCCGGACACTCTTAATTTCTAATAGAATAATGTGTTTTTACTATTGAAATAAATTACAAATTATTATATATACTACAGTTTAACTTTTATTTTTGAAATATTGACTCAGTTTTTTCATTTTCTTTTATTAAAAAACTTGAATTTTCTAAAAAAAACCTGAAAGTGTCCGGACACTTTAGAAAATGTATATGTACGTCACATTGAACATTGAACATTAAACATTTCTGTGAATATTAAATAGATTTTTTTATTTATTTTTATTTCATGGTCTATTTTCATTGTTGTAGCTATATAATTTGATGTTAGTTTATCAAGTCCAATAATTAAAATATAAAATATTTTCGCGCATGTCAGGGGCTACTCGACAAATTGTTTTTTTCTTAAGTTTATTAACGTATAATATTTTCAAAAAATAAAAATAATCAAATTTTTTAAAGAATTTTAATTGTAAATATGACCATGATTTCTCCGAAACTTATTAAGTCCATAAAAGTAAATTTTTATTTGCTTTATTCGATGATAATTAAATCTTAAAAAATTATTATAAAAAAATTCGAAAAATTACCTAAGTAGTTTTTAAAAATGTTTTAATGTAATTTTTCGACAATTATTATTGAATTTTATTATTTTTTGTATGTATTTGAATTTTTGAGAAACATGTAATTGAAAGTACTGAAAATACTGAATTTTAAAAAATTAGAAGCTAATTTTCATTATTTCCATTTTTAAATGTACGTTTAAATATTTTTCATTAACATTTTTAATAATTTAATTATTTTAAAACTAATTAATATTTTGATGAATTTTAATTAAAAATTTGGATCATGGTTTTATTCATCATGTTTACAGTAGAATTGTTTTTGTTAAATTACTATAGCTATGATTAGTAATTATTAGTGATAGGGTAAACCAGACAGTAGTCGGCCAATTTTCAATTTTGAATAGCTATAAAACCGTACGAGATAAAATTAATTTTTTGTTACTAATAATTTCTAAGGTCGTCATAAAGAATTCTAAGCTTTTGTAATTGAAAAATAAATTTTTTGTACGGTTTTTGAGTGGCCGGTTGCTGTCGTATTCTTACTTGTTTATTTACTAATTTTTTTAACGAATAACATTTTTTTTCATAAACATGATTAATTTAATAGTTTTGTGTGATAGTAAGGAACAATATGATCTGAAAGAGTTTGGAAAAAATATGAGTTGCACTTTTTAAACAGTGTTAATTAAAAAGGTTGCTTTAGGTGGCCGACTACTGCCGTATTGTTACTTGTTTATTTGCAAATTTTGTTAACGAATAAGAAATTTTTTTTTGTAAACATGATTGGTATAATAGTTTTGTAGGACCAAGAATAATCACACGTGGAAGAAATTTTAATTGCAATTTTCAAACAATATTCATTAAAAAGATTTTCTTAAGTGGCCGACTACTGTCTGATTTACCCTATTTACATTATTAATTATTAGTGATTTTAATAATGTGTAGCTGCATTGTTTAATTAAATCACCAAAAACAAGCAACAAATACTTCCTCAAAAAACGTGGCCTACAATTCCATAAATGCTTTATTTTACAAAAAGCTGTGTATTATTTATTCATTTTAATTTAATGCAAAATTTCTTTTTGGAGTCAAAGTACCAATGCCACACAATAATTAAAAAAATATTTTCCATAATTAATTCTTGAAAATCCTTGTAAAAACAATAAAAACATGAATGCCCAAAATAAATATTGAATGTAATTTTTCAGGTGATTTTTGTTTACGGTTTATAGGTAATTGTAAAACGTTGTAAAGTCATGAAATGCTAATAAAAAATTTACTTTGGACGAACAAAAAAAAATAAAAAAAAATTGGATGATAAAAACTTATAAATATTATTAAATAATTGAGGTGGCCCACAATTACTCAATCTCCCCTAATTGAAAATACTGAAAATATTGAATTTTAAAAAATTTGAAGCTAATTTTCATTTTTAAATTTACATTTAAAAAATTTTCATTAAAATTTTTAATAATTCAATTATTTTGAAAATTTGCAATTAAAAATCTTAAAAACTTGATTTTCAAAAATTGTAAAAAAATTAATTATTTAATTTTAATTTTAATTAAAAAGTCGAAAAAGTCTCAATTTTTGAAAATTAATGGAAAAAAGTCTCAATTTTCTTAATTTCCCTGACAAAAAATTTTTTTTCCTGTCATTTCCCTGACTTCACTGACAAAAATTTTTATTTCCTGACATTTTCCTGACTTTACTGACATGTGGCTACCCTGAAAATACAAAATACATTTTACAAATAAAAATGAATTTTTCTCTTTAATACGCACCTTATTTGGATGAACTTGAATTGACAATGCCTTATTAACAGACAATATTTTAAAAAGAAACGGCAATTGTGATCCAAATTTATCTAAAACTAGTGAACCCAATGTGTGCTTATTTTCTTTAATATAGTCGTCTAGTGATTTATTTTCATCTTTTAAAAGTGACGGTCCATTTGAATGTGTGCCCATCCAAAGTTCAGCGTAAGGTGTTTTTTCGTCAATTGTAATATTTGGATTTGACGGTTTCATTAAACTAGCAACAATACTGTCACTGCCACATTTTCCCCAGGCGTACGATTGAATTTGGCACCTTAATTCCATTTTTAAATCTATTATTAAAAATAAAGAAAAATATACATAAATCATTGAATTTGAGTTCCTGAAGTTTTGAACGTTCAAATGAACGTCAATATTTTTATTGTTACTTTTACTTTGTATTTTATTAAAAAAAAATTATTTGACGTGTATTAAAACAATTAATTCTTAATTAAATGTTAAATCTACATTATTCTTTGATACACTGTAGTAATTTTTGAAAATATTTACGTACAGAAAATAAATTTCCTTTATTTGAACGTTGAAAACTTTTGCGAAATCTGAAATTAAAAATTATATCCTACAATTTTTAAAGCAGTTTTTGATTGTTACAATGGAATTATTTAAAAAAAAGAAAGCATAAAAAATGATAATGAAAATAATATAATCATGTTCGTGCACTCATTCATGATAAAATGAAATAATAAATAAGTACCTAATTATTAAAGATAAAATTAAAGATTATAATAAAAGAACAACACCTTGATTATGTCAGTCTCATATTTTTGAAGGTTAAACAAAAAAAAATTTGTTGATGTGTTTTTGATTAATGATGAAAATTTCGAATATTCATGCTTGATGAACATTTTTAATAATTGTATTTATGATGAAATGTTTTTTGAAAATGAAATAACACAAAGATTAAACATTAATTTAAATGAGAGACATGCGCGAATGCATTTTTTCATTTAACGTACGTCACCAAAAATGTTTTGATGATAGATTACTGATTTATTTTAAACTGTTATCCACAATTTTATGACTTTTTTCCGACTTTTGACATTTGACGTGGAAATAATTGTTTACACACAGGTTTTTTTAAAATCTTTTTCAAGGTTAGTTAAGGTTAGTTCTCAACTTGTTTCACTTTTCAAGTAAAGATGTCGCTGCTAAAAATGACGTCACCAAAGTGTTTAATTGCAGGTAACACAGGTATTTCATTTACCGACTAAATTAGACTACATTTTTTGGCGGTAAAATTGGTAGAATTCAAAAGGAAAATTAATTAAAAAAATACTAGTAATTAAACTAGTGTCGTAATAATATCTATATTATTAATAATAGTTGTATACCGGTTTCCAAACTTTTTAAATAATTTTTCTTTTCGAATATTTTTAATTGAAAAATTAATGTATTGAAAATCATCAAATTGTTGCAAAGAATTTTGTAAAAAAAATTTGATAATAATAGAATTTCTTAGAAGAATTTGATTATTTAGGAAAATAATTGAATTCTTGCGAAGAATTTTGTTGAAATTTTTAAAAATTCTTTTTAAAGTTTTTTCTTTGAATTTTTTTTAAAATAATGGAGTTTCTTTAATAATTTTAATTGAAAATTTTGAAAATAATTGAATTTTATGAACAATTTCTTTCAAGTTTTAAAAATAATTGTTTCGTGAAATTTTTTTGAAAATAATTGAATTTTTGCAAAAAGTTTTACTATTATTTTATAAAAATAATTGAATTTTTACGAAGAATGTTATTATTTATGAAAATAATTGTATTCTTGTGAAGAATTTTATTAAAATTTTTGAAATAAACAAGAATAATTAATTAGTAAATTAGCTAGTTAATAAATTGTATTTTTTAAAATTTGAATCCGAAATTATTCAAAAATTCACATTTGAAAATAAAAAATTTTGTAATTTGTATAATAATAATAAATCGAATATCACGTTCCGCGCATAACATTTGCTAGCTAGTTAAATAATTACTAATATGAAAAAAGTATTAATTTAAAAAAACAATACAACTATTAAATATTTTTGTAAAAAAAAGAAAATTTTCCACTTCAACAATGAAAGCGTTTCTTTATTTAATTATTTCTTTTTTAGGATAGACTCAACACTTTTTTCTTTTGTTACAGTGTATTTTTGCTAATAATTAACAATTGAGCTTTTTAATATAATATAGTATAATAGATTTTTTTCCATTAAAATTAAACATACAAATTTATTATTCATAACATCGCTTGAAAAAAAAACAACTATCGATTTGCGGCTTCATTATCCCCTAAAGTCTGTACAACTTTTATTCTTTTCTTCTCTCGATTAACAATTCACAAACTGTACATATTAAAAATAATTTTTCATTCTAATAAAAAATAACAATTTTCCATTTTAATGAAATATAATAAGTATCATTAAAAATACTTAAAAAATATTTTTCTCTACGAGTAGAGAAATTGTTTTTTCTCTTTAAATTTCTACTTTGCGAGAAAAATAATTTCGAATTAATTAAAATTTCCATGATCACTGTAGTCGCAGATCGTTAGTTATTGCTATAATAAATGCAACGTAAATAAATCTGACAAAAGTCTCCTTACAAGTTAATTGGTATAAAAAAAACCATTGTAAATGTAAAAAAAATCACAAACATCATTTTTATTCTTAGGCTATTTAAAATCGACGTCCTGACGTTTCAATTGAAAATTAAGAAGAAGAATTTGTTTAAAGAGCAAGAATTTTTTTTTTTTGCAAAGAAAATAAAAAATGAGATAATAAATTTCTTGATATTAGTAAAGAAAGATATTAATAAAAAAAACAACAGAACGTGCGATAAAATCTCTCGCTCATTTGGTATCTCAGCCTTTAATTTGCATCTCATTCGCAAAAATGGCTGTTTATTAAAGAAAAAAAAATACTTATCTCGAGACACACACAATTCATTTAAGGAATTAATACTCATCTCGAGTATTATTTTTTTTTAATAGTTTTCAACATAATTGAAATTCTCACAGAGAATTTTTCTTTTTTTTTTAAATTGTCTTGCTTACAGTAATATATTTTTCTTCAGTTATGAAGAAAATGAGCTATATGTATAAATATGTGTGTGTTTTTTTTAAAAATGATCGAGTTTCACGATAATATGATCTGATGACGCATCAGGTAATTTGACATCCAACCAGTCGGCATTTTCTTGATTTTCCGTGTCAGTGGCTTTTAAAGCCAAACGATGTGCCGGTGTTGCCTTATGAGGAACTCTCAATTCGACCGTTTTTCGAAACTCCAAGCCTCGTGGTCCACACTCAACTAAAGGACTCAGCATCTGTTCACCTATTTCAAAAAAAATTATATAAATAACATTTTATGAATTTTAATATAACAAGAATATTTTTAATAAAATAGAATATTACTCATTTTGTGCTTTTTTCACGTGCATGACTATTTTTAAGGTAATTATTTAAAAATACCTTATTTAATTTCACTTTTTTTAATTTTATGGCAATTATTGTATTGGTGTAAAATTAAAAATTAAAAAGATTTTTTGTAATATATATAAATGAATATCATTTTTCAATTTTATGACAATTACTGGTATAAAAGTAGAAAAAAATAATAAAGAAAATTATTTTCATATTTACTTTTGCTTTTTAAATTGTTGGTGTAAAATTAAAAAGAAGAATGAAAACAATTATTTTCAATCCTATTGAATTAAAAATTTTTTTATAATAAATATATATCAATGGAAATAATTCGTATCGAATTTAACTTTTTTTAATTTCATGACAATTATTAGCATAAAATTAAAGAAAAGAAATAGAAAAATTATTTTCAATGTAGTTATTGAATTAAAAAATTTGTTGTAATAGAATGAAAATAATTGAATAAAAAATCAGATGGCGTTTAATGAAATTAGTAAGCAAGGAAAAATTGAATTTTTTGTTTCTGTTTTGATTGGAGCCCTCAAATCCATCACCGTGATTTGAAATGAATAAGCTCACCATGGTGCATAGGAGGGGAGATCGAGGACCTTTGGCCAAGAGTATTACAATGCAATTCAACTGCATTAGCGGCGGTTATTGTGAAGTAGATCTCTTGATAGGTGTCGGGGGGAAGTGCACCAGGAGGTATCGTCAGCGAGACACCTCCTGGCCCTTCCAGTACACCACCGTCGCTACCAAATACTCCTCGTGCCTTCCCCATCGACCTATGACTATAACCACCGCCGCTATATTAATTTTTCTCCGATTGTTAATTGCTATTCACACCATTCCATCACCAAATTTATTTATTTATTTATTCTTTCATTTTATTAATAAGCATTATATTTTCAAAATTAAATTAGTTTCAAATTTTTACAATCAGTTAATATTGTTAAATTAATTATACACTTAATTTTACATTTAAGTTATTCAGTTAAATAGAATGTTATTTTTCGAAGAAACTTCATATTAGTGAAAAATATTTTAATACCATTCGGTTAAATAAAAATACCGAAGAATTTCATTTGTTATTAAAATTTGAATTTTCAGGGATCATAGTACTTTTTCCAAAAATAAGTCAAAGAAATGAATTAATTTTCCAAAAGTAAGGAATAAAATAGTGGAAAGTAAATACAAAAAATTTTTAACAAAAGTAAAGTAAATAACAACATAAATTGATAATTAGAATATTATAATTTCTATCTATTGATAATTTTGTTAAATAAATTTTAAATCAAGTAAAAATTTAATAAATTCAAATTTTGAAGGGGTTCAATTTGAAGCTGATTCATCTCAAAATTCAGTTAATTTTTCATACTTTTAAACATCATGATAATAAATTTAAACTAAAATTTACACAATTAAAATTTGTCATAAACAAAACACAAGGAAGAATTAAAATTTAAATCTTTTAAAAGTTAATTTCAATTTAACTAAATATACAAATAAATATTGGATACAATTGAAATGTACAATTTTTGAATTTTCATTGAGAAACAATTAAAAAGTTATTTAAAAATCTGGTGAATTTTAATTGAAGAAACGATTAAAACGATAAATTGCAATATGAACTTTGCACAAGGATATTGAATTTTGCAAAAGTATTTTACAAATTGGGGAAAAAGTGCGACAAAGCGAAATTTTTATATAAAAAATACTAAACTTTAAAAAAACTTATGTGAAATTTAGTATATATAAAATATCAAGAATATTAATTAAATTCTAATATACCTAATTTTACTAAATTTCACAAAAGCTTTTTTTATATAAAAAATACTAAAATATTTTTTATATCAAAATTTCGCTTTGTCGTACTTTTTCCCAATTGGTAAAATACTTTTAAAAAATTTAATATACATTCTCTCTCCGTGCAATTACAATTGGGACACCAAATGAACAATTTTCTGAAATTTCAAAAAATTTGTCCGAATGCACAAATATTCTGTACATTTTGTGCGGGGTTCGTTATTTTCGAAATTAATTTTTAGTTATTAAAAATTTTTTTTTATAGAGAAAAACTATAAACTTAGAAAACAAAAACTATAAAGTTGGAATTTAAAATAATAATTATTAAACATTTTTTTTATATAGAAAAAACTATGAACTTAGATAACGAAAACTATAAAGTTTAAATTTTTGAAAATTTGTCAAAATAAGTGAAATAGATAAAAAAAATTAACACAGTATGTGAAATAAATGAGAAAATTTTAAAAAAATAGTGAATAGATGACCATGATCACTGAACTTCCTTAAATTTGTTGAAATAAAAAAAATCATTGCTGCTCTAAAGCAAGTTAAAAAAAATGCACTACAATGAAAAATAATTCCCAAAAGCAAATTTGCAGCAAAAGTTATACACCGAATATATTACCTCATATTGTGATGATGCAAAGGTTTTCGATAAAGTTCAAATGCACTGCCACGTTGTTCTCTACTGCCGGCGAGATCCAATCCACTTGGTTCTCTATTATGTCCACTGTTTGCCGAATTCGAATTTTGCCCGGAATTATTACCTCCATGACTATTGCTGTGACTGTGGCCATTGTGATTCATTGTATTTCGATTGTGAGTGTGTGCCATTCCAATTTGACCGGCGCTATTACTATGCGAATGTGTCATCATTGGTGCATTGGAATGTGGATGAGAATGACTGAGGCTGTAATTGTGTGTTGGTGGTGAGGCGTAATTCGGTGTGTGATTCGAATTCATTGAATATGTTTCATTATTGCGATTTGGCGGAATATTGTAATAATATTGGCCACTATTTCTTTGCACACTGCCGCCGTTTTCCGTCTGGGGAAAAAAGAAATGTTTCATTCAAAAAATTTTCTCAATATGATAATATTTATTCTATTCGATTGTGTGAAAAAAAAATAAAAAACTTACCCCATTGAGAACGTGAGATGTCGCGATAGAATAACTTTTCGCGTGTTGATACAAATTGCTGCCTCCATTTTCATCCTGAATAATATTCTGTTGCTGAGGTGGTCTATAATTCTTAGGTTTTGGCGGAGGTACAGGTTTGTAAGTACCACCTGGTTTTCCTTGCATAGGCGGAACTGGTTTATAATTTTCCGTTCGACTAGAAAACAATTAAATAATCTATTAAGTCCAAGAAGAATGTTATGAAAGTAGGCAAGTTAAAAAACAATACATATCATTTGGTCGAAGAATGCTTAATAGTAAATTTTACTCCAACGTTTCGAAATTAAAATGGTTTGAAATTTTGAGTCAGAAACAATTAATTTTTAACAGTAATAAATAAATAAATAAACATAGAAACAAATGAGGACAAAAATAGAGTAAAATATAATAAAGCTTCACGCATATATAAAAATAATAAAAACAAGTTTTTCATTTCCTGACCATTTTGCTTTCTCATTATAAGCAAATATATTTGCTTCCTCAATAAAATATATTTATAAAATGAAAATAATAAAAAATGAAAAATTTTTTAATTAATTTTTTCTTAACAAAAAGCAGATATTTTTCAGAATATTCAAAATAGAAATTTTCTACTATTTTTAAAAATTTTCTTCTATTTCTTATTAATTAACAAATTACTAAAAAAAAATTTAATTTTAGTTCCATTTGAATTTTCCGAATTCATTATTAAAATCTGAATGATTACAAAACATGGAAAAAATATTTTATTCAATTTTGAAAGCAAATTATTAAATTTAATAACATAAATAGTAATTTGATACTATTTTTTTAGAGTTAATGAAGTAAAATTTATTTTCTTAAATATTCACCTGTATTTAGCGTAATCTGTTCGTATTTGAGGATCCTGTGCGGGAATCGGTTGAGCGGTGGATCTTGTAAATCTGTAGGGATCGTGAGGTTTCGAAACCGTAAGACCACTCTTCAAATCGTCAGGAACATTTGGTCCCAATCGTCCAGTGGACGTATTTAAGCCCGGCATCGGATAAAGTGTATTTCCATTAGTATTGTAAGAATCATAGGAAGATACACTATCATAACTTCCCTGCAATTCAATAAAATTAATTATTATAAACATATAATATTTTTAAATGAAATTTATATCTAATTGAAATGAAATTTGTACCTAATTCATATAATTTTTAATTTTTAACAGGAATCACACTACTTTTTTCTTTAAAATAGGTGAATTACTTTCTAAAGATGACAAAAAAAATTGTATAAAATAAAGTTGTAGTCAAAATAAGTAATTTGTATGTATTAACATTTTGATTAATTTTACTATTTTCTTTATGATTGAATATTAAGATATTTTAAACTCATTGATAGGATGGAAAAATTTTTATGTACCAATAAAAATTGAAAATAAGCAATTAATTGAAACCTAGATTTTTTTATACACAGTACAATTTAAGTTTCTAAAGTTCTGAAAATTTATTTATTTCTTTTCCAAATTCAAATTTTATAATAATATTGTTTTACGTTTGAAAAAAGTGACTAAGTTTGAAAATATTTTTATCGAAAAAATATTTCGTTTATTATTGAATGTCTAGAATTTTTGGAACACAGCAAATTAACAGAAACTGTTAACCATATTTTTGAAACTTTTTATAAATACGATTTTTATGCAAAATAAGTGCAATATATAATTCATAAAAATTATGTTTAAGAAAATAAAAAAATCTAGTTTTCAAATTTAGTAAAATTATTCCTAAAATATTATAAATAAAATAGAAAAATAAATAAATTTTGAAAAAAGAAACTTTTGAAGTTTGAAATGACTGATTTTGAGAGTGATTGACATATTAGAATTTGTAATTTACATTGTTAAAAATTTTGAATAAATTGAAATTTAAGTCAACTGGATTTACGCTTAATTAAAAATAAGTTAAATTGAATTTCCAAAGAATAAAACTTTTGTCAAATTAAATTCAGAATCAACTACAATTTTATTAGGTGCAAGTTTTGAAAAATTAACACTAAGATTTATTAAAATATAATCTATTTAACAATGTTTATAAGAATAAGTGAAATGGATGAAAATTAACGAAATAGATGACAAAATGAAAAAAAAAGTGAAGAAGATGAATAGGTGACATTTAAAATACATTTTAAAAAAGTAGAATAAACCTGATCAATTTTGAAATTTTTCATGAATTAAAATTAAAATTGTAAAAAAAAAATTGAAGAATTCTTTTCGTACCGATTTTGGTTGGGGTCTCTCGAGAGATGAAGTGGTATTTGCTCGATGAGGAGTGGCATTGATATAATTTCCCATATCAAGAACTGAATCAGTTTTATTGACAAGTCGTTCCTGTGCGGAGCGTCCAATTGTCCCACGTGGTGTTTGTGTCGTGGGTTTTGCATTTCTATCGACACGAGGCGGAAGATCAGGAGGACCCTGATGTGGTGATCCAGGATATTGGGTTGTCATTTGCGACTGAGAATTATTGCCCTGTCCTTGTTGCGAAAATCCGTATTTACTATCACCAACTCCACCTTGCGATCTTCTCTTCTGCTGATCAAATGCCTGAAAAAGTTGCATTCAATTTTACATTTCATTTCATTTCATTTTCATTTTAATATTCACAACATTTTCTAAATTACAGCAATCATTAAAAAATTACAAAATTCATTTTTCTCATTTCTTTTGAAATTAATTTTCAATTAATTAATTCATTAAATTAAATTAATTAAAAGTTTTGAATAAAAGTAAACTTTTCTAAATTACATGCCTCGGATAGACTTTAACGAGTTTATTTTGTATTTCCCTGATTTTTCAATGATTTCTAAATTCAATTAATTAAAACTTGTATAATTTTGATAAATAAATATTTAAATACTTTTTACTTCTTTTTTTACGTAGGAAATAAAATGTCAACTTCTGAAATTTAATAATTTCTAAAAATTAAAACTATAACCCTTCCGAAAATTCTTTTATTTTCTACAATTTATAACTAAACTTCATCTCTAAATCAATTATTTATATTAATTTCTAATAATTTTTCGAAAGTTCTTCGAGAATTCAATTATTTAAATACTTAAAGATATTAAGGTGTAGAATATTTTCAAAAAATTTAATAAAGAAATTCGTAAAATTAACTTTTTAAAAATATTTCTAAATAATTTTTTAAAGACAATAGTTTTACAATTACATACAATTGAAAAATGTCAAAAAAATTGAAATTTTGTAAAATCTTTAAAAAAATAATTTAAATTTAGTATAATCTTTGAAAATTAATTAAAATTTGATAAAATCTTTTAAAAATAATTGAGTTTTTAAAAAATATAAAAAAAGTAATCAAATTTTTGAAAAATTTTAATTATAAATGATTTTTCAAAAATTCTAAAATAGTAAATTTAAAAAAATTTTAATTTACTTTGTTCAAAGGTAATTAAATCTTAAAAAAATATAATACAATTCTAAGAATTAGTTTTTTATAAATATTGTAATGTAACTTTTCGAAAATAGTTGAAGAATTTTTGTATAATTTAAAAAAAATCATTTTTTGAAGAATTTTAATTAAAATTTTTAAATATGATTATTTTCTCCAAAATGTTAAAAATAATTCTAAAAATTTTTAATGTTATTATTTATTTTTCAATATTATTTTTCAATATTGAAAATATTGAAAATAATTGAATTTTAAAAAATTAGAACGAAATAATTCAGAGAATTACATTTTTCAAAACTATTTTAATATTATTTTTAGAATCTAATTTTCATTAATTTTCATTTTTATTGAATTTACACTTGAAGATTATTCATTAAAATCTTTGAGAATTCAATTATTTCAAAAATTTTCAATTAAATTTCTGTAAAAGTTAATTTTCAAAAATTGTAATAAAATACTTGAAAAAATGATTTATTTTCAATTAAATTTTACAAAATTTCAATCATTCAAAATCTGTTTAATTGTATATTTCAAAAATTTAATTAGAAAAATTATTCAAAAATAAATTTTCAAAGATTTGTTTATAGTTATGTTTTTCACACTATAAAAGTCGAAATGAGTTGCATTTTATACTAAAAATATGGTATTTTGTAGCAAAATTTGGAAGAAAAGTTGAAAAAGTTGCAATTTTTTACTATGAGGCGATCGCCTTATATTAAAAAATCGAGGCCTGAAATTACTAACATTTTTTATTTTTAAATAATTGAAAAAACACTATTGATATTTGATTTTTATTCCGTTTATTTTTCGGAAATAATTACTCACTCTTGAAATGGAGAAAAAATGTTTACACTGGAGAACATTTTACTTTTCTATATTTAGTAAGAAAAACTGCTTTGTATTAATTTAATTTTTTTTTTTTATGAAAAATGGAAAAAAAAATGAAATATTATTTACACAATGAAATAGAAGCAAATAGTGCTCAATGATATTATTTGTATATAGTGGCAAAAACCATTATTGTTTTTTTTTTAATGTATATTAATGTTAATTGACACGATAGATATGTAGTTAATTTTAATGAATATTAATTTTATGAATGCCAACGGTTCTTTTTTAGAACTTTAATCCCTCTTGCTGAAATGTAATTCAAATATCATTTTTATAATGAAACGAGTGAAAAAAAAATTTTTCTCTTGACAAATATTTTATATTCCTTTTTGAAATTTCTCTAAAATTTTTAATTTGTTTTGTACTTTTATAAGTTTTGAAGTAAATAAAATTTTGTTCCTTGTCTTCTACTATTCTTTCTTCTTTTTCTTCTCTTCTATGTTTATTCTACTTTTCTGCGTTTCTATTTTTATATCAATTATCACAATTTTTTTGCAATATTTTTCATGACCCCTAATTCTAAATTTAAATTTTGAAATTGAATTAACATTGAAATAAAATAAAGGAAAACTCCCCAGCAGAATTCATAGTAATTCATAGTTTTAATTCTCCTTTTTCGGAAAAAAATAAAAAATTCCCATTAAGAAAAAAAAAAAAAAAATAATTGTCAAGAGAAAATATTGATTAGATGGCAACGATTAGTGACGATTAAGCGGGAAAACGTACCTGATAGCTGGTTGTGTACGGCGGAGGAGCAACGGTGTCATCCTGAGTGGCAATGCTGGGATCTGAGCTACTCTTCAGGCGTGAGGGTTGTCCCAAAGCGCCAGGAAGGGGAGGTGCGGGGCTTAATTCCAAATCGCTCTCCGGAGAGGATGCGTAGGAGAGGCGTGAAGTCATCGGGAACAGGAAGTCATCCGAGAGGGCCTCTTCCGGCTACGCTCACAGAAAACAATGGGACTCCACATTAATGATTTGTTACGTGATTTAGATTGTCAGTTTGCCAAGAAATTGCGAAAAAAAAATTAATTCTTCAAAGCTTTTCAATATCAGACTAGTGCGTTTCTTTGCATTATATTCAGACTTTTATCTAAATTAAATTAAATTAGTCGTATTAGTATTTGGATTAATAATTACATCGGTTAATAATAATAATGATTCCTACTCTATTCTGATTATTACAAAAAAGCAATTAGTGTAAAAAAACAAAACGATAACACACAATCAACAATTTCTTTTTCACCACCTCTTTCTCTTTGATTCACATAAAATAAAAATAGTAATAATAATTAATAACGATTAACAATTTAAAAACAATCATGCAATAAACAATATATAAAATTTAATAGAAGCGAATAAATTACAAGAAAAAAAAATGTACAGTAATAATATCATGCAAATGAGTACGAGAACTTATGCAAAACAAGCCATGCAATTGTCTCCGAGAATGAATAAAAATTGAAAGTTTTACAAAACAAATATAGTGAAATGAAATTTTAATACTTCTTCACATTAAACCAAACTTTTAATTTTATTAAGATTATTTAAATTTATAATCTTAAATTAAAATAAAAATCGAGTATTTAAATTCATTAACTTATGAAAAGAAAAATTTTTCAAACTAAAAATAGAAAACAATTTTATTTAGTTTTCAAGAAAAATTTCAATTTTTATTTCTCGAGAGACTTATAAAAAAAAATAGAATTAGAAGCACTGGACAAACACCAAGAGGCGTTGGGAGAGGATTTTCAGATGTAGCCGAAAAATTGCTCGTGAATGACATTGGATTGATGGTATTGGGGCAAAATTGTCATTGATGGAGAAGGAGGTCGAGGGGGAACAATACTGATGTTGTTCTTGTTGTTGTTGTTGTTTTGCTCGCAAAAATTGTTGGCATCGGAGGAATCAGGTGGCGTTGGAGGCCGATAAGGATGATACGGAGGGAGATACAGATCCGACACCAATTCTATGGGCTACAAACCAACACCGCACATTTAAGAAAAAAAAATAACAATTAAACTATATTCAACATAAATATGATTCTGTAAACTACCAATATTTTGAAAAAAATACGGAAATAAATTACACTGCAAAATAAAAGGTAATAGAGTAAATAATTCAAGCTTTATTAATTCAGTCAATCAATAATAAAAAAAAAACTAGGTTGAAGAATATAAAAATACGAGATTGATTGAAAAATACTAGCTTAATATAAAAATATTTAACCAATAATTGAAAACTGTTTTAATAAATTAATAAAGCTCTTTAATAACAAATGATGAATTAATAATGACTATCGAGAAGAATGATTATTATATTCAAAATTCAAAAACAAGTTATTAATTATTAACGATTAATAATGATTATTAATAATTGATAAAAACTGTTTAATAACAATGAATGGAAATTATTATTAACGAGACTTTAATAAAAAATAATATAGCAGTTTCACGCAATAAATATGTCAATAAAGCTGCTGCTTGATGAAAATATTGTTCGTGAGAATTATTTTGAGTTTGTCAAAATGTTTAATTCTGTCGTTTCTTTAACAGAAAAACGACGTTTTTTCTAAAAAATGACCAACTTAGGATCGAGATGTTGATGTGGTTCTTTTTTTTCTATGAAATTGTGAGTCGCACAATCCCAATCTACATAAAAGCGAAATAATATAAATTACCTTTGTCTGACTCATCCAAAGGGGACCTTGTTGCTGTCTATCGATTAATTCACGAAGTTTTCGATACCATGATTCTGGAGTTGTTAGCGTGATAACTGCGCTAAATGTATGTCCCCAAATTTTATCGAGTTTCTGACACTGCTCCAATAGTTTCTTACTACTTTTGTGTGCTGATCTGAAAAAATAATGTAACTCTACTTTTAATATTTAATTTGAAATTTGAAGAATAAAAGCTAATAATTATTTAGAAAGAAAATAATATTAAATAATAAATAATAAGCTAACTAAAAATACTACCTAAAAAACTAACTAATAATAATAAATACAAAAATAAATGTAAATATCGAAAATTGAAAAGAAAAAAATATTAAAAAGATAATAAATACAAAAATAATAAAAGAAACTGAAAGAAAAATAAATAACAACAGGGCTGCCACGCTTTTGTTCATTTCAAATTCCCTGACTTTTTCAGGTTAAAAAACGGAATTTTTCCAGGTTTTTAAAACTACATTTGTTTGTCAAGAAAAATTTAATTTTGTTTTTCCCTGACATTCCCTTGAATTTCAGACAAAATTCTTACTTTTCCTTCACTCTAAAGAATATTTTGATTCAGTTTAAAAATTATTACTCAGAAAAATTAATACTTTTCTTCTTCTTTTTTAAATAAATATAATATTTAATAATTATTATTTTTCCATAAGGAATTAAGATTTTCAAAAATTTCAAATTCAAAGCTTTTTAAAATTAAACAATTTAAAAAAAATGTTTTATAATAATTAAAAGATGTTCGAAAGATAAAATAATTATTTTTTATTATATGAATATTGTTACTGTAATTTCATAAAAACTATTTTTATCATTTCAATTTAATTATTTTTAAAAATTTTTAACTAAAATTCTTCTTTAAATTAATTATTCATTCATTTTTAATAATTTTTGGAAAATTTTTTTGTTTACAATTCAATTTTAAGAAATTTCTTCGATTATTTAGAAATTCTTCAATCAAATATATATTAGAAAATAAAAACTTCAAATAATTTCAAAAAAGTTCCATTTAACTTTTTTAAAAAAATTAAATCTACACAATTTTGAGTTAAAAGTATTAAAAATTCAAACTTTCAAAAACTATGATTTGAAACCTTTTCAAAATTCAATTATTTCTAAAAATTCACGCTATAATACTTTCTCTTTTAATTAGAATTAATAAAATTGTTTACTAATTGGAATTAGTAACTGAATTGTTACATGGGTTTTACAAACCATTTTTTCTAATTCAAATTTAGAGAGTTTAATATTCAGTTATTATCTAAAATTTTAACTGAAATTCATATTTAAATCAATTTTTATTAGAAAATTCTGCGAGAATTCCATTATTTAAATACAAAAAAAAAATTTATTGAATAATTGAATGTTTCTTGAAATAATTGTACTCTCATAAAGAATTTTATCAACAAATTTTTAAATAATTAAAATTCGAATTTTAATAAAAATTTTTAGAATAATTTCATTTTTCGAGAAATTAGATTAAAATTGTATTAAAAATAATTGAATCTCTGTAAAAAATTTGATTGAATTGAAAAAAGTTTTTGAAAATAATTGAAATTTTGACAGGAATATTATTAAATTTTTTTTGAAAATAACTGAATTTGAAAGAAGAATTTTATTATTTATAAAGATAATTGAAATACTGACGAGAATTTTTTTAAACTTTTGATCATAATTGAATTTTTGCGAAGAATTTTATTACTTTTGAAAATAATTGAATAATCTTGAGAGGAATTTTAATAATATATTTCTTTTTAAATAATTGAGTTCTTTTGTGAAATTTTATTTAAATAGTGGATATTTAAAATAATTGAATTTTGATATATTATTGAAATTAATTTAATTTCTACGAATAATTTTATTAAAATTATTTTGAAAAAAATTGAATTGGCAAAAAGAATTTCATTAAAATTTTTGAAAATAATTTAATTCTTTTAAGAAATTTAATAATTAAAAATGTATTGGCAATAATATTTAAATTCTAATAAATAAATTATAGGAAGGCTTTTTAAAATAATTGAATTTCTTTCATGAATTTTAATGAAATTTTTAAGAATAATTACATTTTTTTGAGAAATTCCATTAAAATTGTATTAAAAATAATTGAAATTCTGCGATGAGTTTTATTATTTATGAAAATAATTGAAAACCTATAAAGAATTGTATTATTTATGAAAATAATTGAATCCTTGTAAATATTTTATCATTTATGAAAATAATTGAAGAAATTTATAATAAATTTGTAAATAATAGAATTGCTGTGAAATTTTTATTATTTAATTAAGTCATTGAAAATTGAAATTTTCTAAAATTTCAAATTAAAATCTTTTGAAGTTCATCTATTTATGAAAATTGTAAACGCAACTCTTTTAAAATTGAATTAATTTTGAAATATTTAAGTAAAATTAGATTTCAAAAACAAACACAATAACTTTAGAAAATAATAATTTTCCAGGATTCCGATCAAAATTCCCCGACTTTTCCAGGTTTTTTCAAGGTTTATAAAATTCCCTGACATTTCCAGGTTGCGTGGCAACCCTGAACAAAATAAAAATACATTCAAATATTATTTAGCAATAATTTGAATTTTATGGGAAGAATAATATTTGCAATTAAATGTGACTTACTTTGGAATACCAGCTCGCATTTCTTTGATGACCTGTTTGGTTTCAGCTTTCAAAAAGATGACAATTGGATAGAATTGGGCGTAATTGAGACGATCGACAGCATTTGGCGTGATATCTAAAAGTGCATGTTTTCCTCTGTCCATAACTTCTCGAATTGCACTGAGCCGAATTATTCCCGAAGTTTTTGAACTCTTTCCACCATTCTCCTCCATTTGGTTTTCCATTTCTATAAAAAATTATTTTATTTAGAAAAATTCACGAATGGAAAGTATTAAAAATACATTTAAACAAACAAAGAAACACAAATTAAAAGAGATAAAGAGGAAAAGGAATTTAAAATGATTTGATTTACAGGATTTAATTTTATAGAAAAAGATCGCGAAGACGAAAGAAAAAAAAGAAAAAGGAGAGAAAAATTAAATGAACAAGAAAAATGAAAGAAAAGCTAAAAGGTGTGTAGCTATTATGTTGGCAACAATGGTAAATGTACTTACGAGGTGACGTGAATTTATCAGGAAAATCCTTCAGTAATTTCTCTCTGGCGAGATCAGCGACAGGACCGAACAATACCACTGGTCTAATAAAACCAGGATGTCTCAAAACAACTCGTTCGTAAGCAGGGAATTTGCTCACACTGTCGGAGAAGACAACATCGTCCCAATGATCCTAAAAAAATTTTATGTTTACCAAATGAATTGACACAAAAACGAAATTTTCGATATGAATTAATGATGATGAACTTAAAAAGCAATTATTAATTAATTATAAAAATAAAGAAGAAAAACTATAAACTTACTCTTCCAAGAGATTTAGAGCGTCGATGACTTCCTCTTCTTCTTCTAAAGAAACTTCCTCTACTTTCACTGGCACTCAATTCTTTCTTCGTTGCATTAAACTGTGCAGTGGCCAATTCCTCAGCCCTTGCTTTATTAGGGATAATTCCCTTTTGCACTTCCTGATTATTTCTGCCTATTCGGAAAATTTGCCATGAGCCGACGACTCCATTGTGCAATGTATCCACCACGTGAAAAACGTCTCCACTTCGAAAACTCATTTCACCTTTGTCCGGTTGTTCGTAGTGAAAATGTGTTCTGAAATCGCGATAAAATTAATTAATTTTAATTGTTCTAGAAATTTTAATTCACATTCAATTTTTAAATTTTAAGTACTAAATTTTTAATTATTGCAGTTTGCCATAATATCTTTAGTTTTATCTTATATTAGCTTTTCACTACCTTTTTATCTTTCTTTTACCATACTTTAGTTTTTTTTTATTATCATTTTTCAGTATATAAAAAAAATAGAATAGAATTTTTTTGAAAAAATATTCCACTAATTGATTTATTAATTACTTATTTGGAAAATTAAATAAATCACTTACTTAATGTGAAAAGAATCGCCTCGTCCAGATGCGACGATTTGATCGTATTCTTGACGTCTGTGTTGCACGATGAGATCAATTTGTTCTTGTAGGCTGAGTAAAAAGAGGACAGCTTCTTCCCTCGTCACGCCTTTCATATCCATATCATTCACCTGTAAAGGCAGATATTTTATTTAGAGAAATCATACAGAATTATTGTAATGATATTTTATTCAGAGAAATTATATGAAATTATTATCAAGGTATTTTGTTTAGAGAAATTATACGAAATTATTGTAAAGGTATTTTGTTTGGAGAAGTTATACGAAATTAGTTTAAAGGTATTTTAATAATAAATAATAATCTTCAGAAATAATGATTGAGTGATATGGTATTTTGTTTGGAGAAGTTATACGAAATTATTTTAAAGTAGAAAAATGCGCTCTACACGAATTTTTTCTTTATAATTTCTTTATATTATTCAATATTTCTTATACGAATTACTTTATAAAAATTAAAAAACAGTAATTTTTTAAGAAAAAAATTACTTTTAATACCGAATTTTCATTTTTAAAAAATTCCGCAAATTTTCTCCGATTCAAAATTATAAAAAGATTAATAATAAAAAGAAAAAAAATTGAAAAAAAATTGCGAGCAATACCTTCAGAATTTTATCCCCGGGCTGCAAACCCTGAAGGGACGCAGGACTTCCGGGTTGAACGGCAGTGACGAAAACTCCAGTTTCATTACCGCCGGTTAATCTAACTCCCACTGAACCTTCCTTTTGGAAAGTTATAAACCGTGGATCTGGCCTGAAAAAAGAATTTCAAAAATTAATTTTTGCAATCTATTAATAATATAATAAAAAATATTCAACAATTCATTAATTAACATTCCTAAAACTTACATTGGTTGCTTTGCTCTCTGAACAAGAGGATCTTCTTCATACAGTTGTCTTCTCGAACTGTAGTAATCTGTAAAAAATAATTTTATAAATAAATAAATAGAATGGTTAAGAAATGGTTGTATTCAAAATGATTCATTATAAATTTAAACTACTGGGAAAAATAAAATACAAAAGTTTAAACGTTCGAAGAATAAAAATAAAAATAAACGGAAAAATACAAAAAAAGTAATGAAAAATTCAAAAATTCAAGAAATGTTCACCAAAAATGAACTTTAAACTTAAGTTCAGTTTAATTCAATGCAAAAATGTTAAATTAGGCACATAATACGATTACTTTATTATTTTTTTCTGTTTTATTTTGTATTTTGTTCAAAGTTTACTAAATTCTAGTAAAATGTATGAAGAAAAAACAAATAAAAGTTAAAACTGAAATAAAATGACTAAATTTGAATAAAAAATAAAAAATTGAAAAAAATAGAACAAATAAAATCTTCAAGAAATGAAAGAAAAAAGAATTCAAGCAAGTTATTGAGGAGAAACTACAACGAAACTTTTAGCTTTATAAAGTAATTAATTTAAATCTTTTGCAATATCATTGTTATAGTAATTTTTCGAGGAGTTCAATAATGATAATAAAAATTTGTTGCAATAAATTTTTTCACCACTTTTTGAATCCTATTTTTTGATAAAAATTAAATATTTCAAAATCCATTCGTAATTTTTCAGAACACGAATTTTTATAATCAATAAAAATTCAACAGCTGACAATTTTTAGTTTTACTATTTCTTTAAGCATTTTTTTTTCTAAAAAAAGGTTATTTTTAACATATCTTTAATTTACTTTAATTTACGAATAAGCTTTGAAAAAAACTTAGTGTTTTGAAAAGATCTTGAAAAGTTTAGAAATAATTTTTTTCTCCTTTAATTTTTGATAATTATATTAAATGTAATATTTTACGTTCCAGAAGTTTTGAACGTTGAAATAAACGAAATATTTTTTATTAAAAACATTTTCATAAATTATTAATTGTAATAAAGATTAAAAACTTGAGTTAAACATTTGGTAACTTTAAAAATTATTTTTTTTGATAGTAATGCAAAATTATTGTAATAAAAATTTAATTTGAAGAAGAAATAAATAAATTTCGTTCATTTGAACGTTCAGAATTTTAGAATTATATTTTTCAAGTAAAAATAATTTTTTCTATCGAAAAAAATGCTTAAAAAATAGTAAAATTATAAATATTTTGCAGAAAAATGTTTTATGAATTTAAAAATATATATTTTCTAAAAAATTGCGTATGGGGTTTGAAATATTTCATTTTTACGAAAAATAGAATTTAAAAAGTAGTCAAAACATATTTGCCTTAATTATTTTTATGACAGTTGAATTCGTGGTAAAAAATTACTAAAAAAATGATTTTGTCAAAGATTTGAAGTAATTCATATTGTTGAAAATTTCGTAGCAGTCTCCCTTCAAATAATGAATTTTTCTTGTCGAAAAAAAGAAAAAAAACTACAAACCCTCTGGCCTTGGAGGTGGCGGTCTGGGTGGGTCAACAGTTGGCGTTGCCGGCAAATCCAATTGACTCAAGGACACCTCCATTAAAGGACCTCGCGATCTCCCCCTCGGAGCAAGATTACTTTTGTCTTCGATTGGCTGTCTCGTTGGCGGTGGTACATAAAGATTTTGACTACTATAACTAGCTCCAGAAAGATAATCTCCACTTTCACCTTTACTTGGCTGATGTGAATGAGAATTTAATGGAGCTTCTCTGGTAACAACAATCGACAAACGATCCTTACATTGCTCCATAAGTTTTTTGGCTTCTTTTAAACTCATATTGTCAGCGGCCACACCTCCAATTCGTGTTAGAATATCTCCCTGCTTCACTCCTGTTCCCTCACGTGTGACTTCGCGAACATAAAGACGACATCCGAGAACAATCCCGAAATCTGAAACCAAATTTCTGTTTTTAATATGCGTCCATTTTTTAAATTAATATTTTTTTTACATAATATGTAGGTAAATTCCTTTTTAAAAAAAAATTGATTGAAAACAATTTCGCGAGTAAAATAATCAAATGAAATATTAGAAACTAGCAAATGATACGCGCGGAACTCGGTATTCCATTTCTTATTATTTTGTAAATTAAAAAATTTTATATTTTCAAGAATAAACATCAATTTTTGAATGATTACAGATTTAAAATTTAAAGAATTCACTTATTGAGTACATAATATTAAATATTCTTGTTTATTATTACTCAAAAATTTGAATAAAAATTGTCGCAAGAATTTCATTATTCTCATGAATAATAAAATTCTTTAAAGCAATTCAATTATTTTAACTACAATTTTAATAAAATTTCTCGAAAGAATGCAATTATTATAAAAATATTAATTAAATTAGATTATTTTCAAGAATTTTATTATAAATTCAATTATTTTCAAACAATTTTGATAAAATTCTTTTAAAAAAATCATTATTTTCCAAATTTTTAATAAAATTCCTTCAAAAAATTCAGATAAAATACTTCGAAAGGATTCAATAATTTTTATGAATAGTAAAATCCCCCACAAGAGTTTACTTATTTTCATAAATAAGAAAATTCTTCGCAAGAATTAAAATATTTTCATAAATAATAATAATAATAAAATTCTACGAAGGAATTTAATTATTTTCATAAATAATGAAATTATTCGGAGGAATTAAATTACCTAATTCAATACAATTTTAATAAAATTTCTCGAAAGAATAAAATTATTTTTAAAAATATTAATTAAATTCAATTATTTTCAAGCGTTTTTAATAAAAATTCAATTATTTTCAACAATTCTAATAAAAAATTCTTCAAAACAATTCAATTATTTTTATAAATTGTAAAATTCTTGGCAAGAATTCAATTATTTTTGTAAATACCTAATAAAATCCTTCTGAGAAATTCAATTACTTTCATTACAATTTTAATCAAATTTCTGAGAAAAAATTCAATTATATTCATGATAATTAGGTATAATAAAATTTCTCTTACAGGTTCAATTATTTTTAAAATTTAATAATATTCCTTTCTTAAAAAAGACATGGAGTGGAAAGGTCGAATGTATCGAAAAGTATTGAAGTAAAGAATGGGCAATGAGAATGTAAAATCTTAATAGAAGGGTGTTTTTAAAATTGTTTGTACATGTGAAGGTGGCGCTGCAGTCGTATGTTATTTAAAAAGAGCGCGAATATATAAATTTTATTTTTGTTAAGAGAAAGTACACATAATAAATCTTATTTTGCATTGTCAAAAAAAAACGTCAACATTTCAAATATAAATAAGCAAATTATTAACTGAAAAACTTTGAATATTATTATTAATAAAATAATGGACTTGGATAATGGACATATAAAAACTAGCACCGTAGACGGCCGCTTGCGGCCGTCGGAGGAGCTAGTTTTCTAAATAATTCTATATTTCTTAAAAGTTTTTAAAAAAATTCTTTGTAAATTTCAATTATTTTCAAAATTTTCAATTAAAATTACTCTAAAAAAATTACATTATTTTTATGAAATTTAATTAAATTCTTCAAAAGAAATATAATTATTTACAAAAACTCTAATAAAATTGTTTAAAAGAAATTAATTTTCTATGAATAATTTTAAATTCAATTGTTTTCAAAATTTTCAGTAAAAATTATTTTAAAAAATTTCATTATTTTAAAGAATTTTAATAAACATCTTTACAAGAATTAAATTATTTTTAATATAATTTTAATTACTTTTTCTCGAAAGAATTCAATTATTTGAAAAAATGTTAATTATATTCTTGAAATGAATTCAATTATATAAAAATGTTTGTTTATTAATACTTTACAATTATTTCTGAAAATAATTGAATTTTTGAATAGAATTTTATTAAAACTTTTTTAAATAATTGAATCCCTGCCAAAAATGTATTATTTCTGCAAATAATTAAATTTTTGCAAAATTAAAAAAAGTGAAATTTTGAGAAGAATTTTATTAAAATTGTATTTAAAATAATTGAATGTATGTGAAAAAATTTACTAATTTATTGATAGGTAATTATTAAATTTTTTCGAAGAATTTAAAAAAAATGTTTAAAAATAATTTAATTTTCCCTAGAATTCAATTAAAATTGTATTTAAAATAATTTAATTCGAGCGAAAATTTCATTATTTTTAAAAATAATTGAATTCTTGAATTGGATTTTATTAAAAGTTTTCTAAATAATTGAACTCCTGTGAAAAATTTAATTATTTTTAAAAATAATTTAATTTTCTCGGAAAATTTTTACAAGATTTTTAGAAATAATTGAAATTTTCGAAGAAATCAATTAAAAAATTGTATTGAAAATAAGTGAAATCCTAATAAGAATTTTATTATTTATATGAAAATAAATTTTATTTCAATTATTGAAAATAATTGAATTCTTCATAAAATTGAATTATTCTCAAATTTTTTGATAAATACATTTGAAGAATTCAATGATTTTCAGTACATTAACTGCGACCAGATTACCGGAGTACAAGATTTAACTTATTTTTGTTTTTGTATTTTGTTTGTTACTTTTTACTAAAAAAAAGGAAAATTTTGTACCGTCTTTCTTGTTACTCCTGGTGAGAGTGAGACGATGAGTCTGGGGAGCCAAGCTTCCGGGTGATCCTGGTGAGTTTGAAGAGGCTCTTCTCTTAACCACCAGTAGGACAGTGGATCCAGAATCCCTGAGAACACGAACCGCTGCTGCATAATCTGCACCTTCCAGCGACACTCCATTGGCAGAAATTATACGATCATTTACTCTGAAATTGAAAAATAAATAATTATTTAATATACAAAGTCGCAGTGTGTAATTAAAATTTTCTACAAAAATTAAAATCTTTTCTAGTCGTTATTTTCCTTTTCACTTTAATTATTTTTCGTCTTTCAATTACTCTCTGGGTAATTTCATTTAATTATTCTCATATCTTTTTTCTGGGCATCCGGGAAATAATACTGGTTTCGTGATAGACATCTCATTTAAAAAGAGAAGAATATTTTGAGTCGGGATTTTTTGGTAAATATAGAGAAATGCTCTGGGACCAGCGGTCCTCTCGGATTTTAGAGAAATTTTGATAAATAATTATTGAAAAAAATTGTTTAAATATACGGAAAAAGGGGGTTTTGAACGGTTCAGTATAGACGTCTCATTTTGAGAGGATAAAATATTTCGGGTTCATATTTGGAGGGGTGCTAGAGGAAGACTCTCCGAGGAGCGGCCCTCTCCGTTTTTGCAATAATTTTGCGAGGAAATTATTTTATTTACGATTGAAAGTGGAGTATTTTGAGATTAATACATTTCCTCAGTTCGAGTCGCGACCACTTCCGAGAATTGGCGCCACCTCCTTGACCACTGACACATAGATCCACTTGTCTGTGTCTCGCCGCCATATTGTCTCTCACTTTCGCCCAAAATCCAACTTTTGTAATTTCGTTTTTCAATATTTATTTCAAAAATTACTTGCAATTTTCGAGAATATTCTTTATCACCATGAATTCCCCTAATTATCATGATAAATCCGAACTAAATATCTCTAATTATTTAGGAGTGAGACGACACGCGGGAAAACACTTTTTGGGCTCAATTTTTCCCGGATGCCCTTAATTTAATTCTTTAATTTAATTTTTCCATACATTTCAAATTTGATAATTTAGTGTTAGTTAATTTGAAAAAAAGTAATATTCAAAATTATCCTAATTCATAAAAAATTTTTCATTCGAAAAAATTAATTTATAAAAAATTATTCTGTTTTAAATAAAATTACGAAAAGAAAAAAATTTAAAAAGTCATTTCGATTTAAAATTAATTTAATTTTCTTCATTGCTAATTCTTAATTAATTTATTCATTAAATTACAATAAAAATTCAATTTTAAATTAAAACTTTCAAATTTATTTCCAGTTTCTGCATGATTATTTTTAATTAAATTTACATTTAAAATTTAATTTTTTTTTAAATATATATTTAAAAAACTATTTCCAATATTAAATAATATTTCAAATTTTTGTCTAATCAAAATTAATTTACAGTTTCTTTTTGCTTATTTTATGTTAAAATTAACTTAAAAATTAAATTTTTAATTACAAACTGAAAATGCATTTCTAATTGAAATTAATTTATGGTTTTTTTTCGATTTAACAATTAATTTAATCTAAACAATTTTAAAAAATATTTTATTTCTTAAATTCAATAAAATTAAAAAATAATTCAATTTATTACTTTTGAAACTTTAAGTTTAAATTCATATTTATTATTATTTATTACTTTCTTCATTGAAAATTAATTTATAGTTTCTTTTGCTTATCCTTAATTAAAATGATATTAAAAAATATATTTTGAATTAAAATTAAAAACGTTTATCTAATTAAAATTAATTTATAGTTTTTTTTTGCTTATTACATTAAAAAATATGTTTTAAATTAAAGATTGAAAAAGTATTATCTCTAATTAAAATTACATTTAGATTCTAATTCTGAAAATTAAAAAATTGATTTCCAGTGACAAATAATAATTCTCTAAATTTACTTCCAATTAAAATTAATTTATATTTTTCTTTTGCTTATAAATTAAAATTGCAGTAAAAATTACGTTTTGGATTAAAAATTGAAAATTCCAATAAAAAATAATGTTTTAAATTTATTTCTAAGAAAAATTAATGTAGGTACAGTTTCTTTTTGCTCTTTCTTAAAGTAAAATTACAATTCAAAATGAGAAAATAATTTCAAATTAAAATTTATATTATTGTTTTCGTATTCGGAAAGTAGATTGAAAAATAAAAATTATCGTCTAAAAAGTTGAATAGTGAAAAAGAAAGTGGTGTAAAAATTTCGAGAAATTTTCTCGCATTTTTTCGAATTTGTTGGGACAGTAAGGAAAAATTTATCAACTAGTTACGATTATGTATTAAACGAAAGCCTGTTTGCAACTAAACGGATTAAAATATTTCAGCGAAATGCACGTTGCTTGGGGACACACATCGTCTTAACTCACAAAGAGGGTTTCCTCTAAGTAAAATGTGTAAAACTCGACACGTAATTCTAAGCGACTTCCGCATATCCGCACGGTTTTACATTATTCTAGGAATTTTAACTCACTTCTAATACATAATAATAATAACAAACAAGTGAGCAGAAATTAAGAAATTCTTTAATTAAACAAAACTGTATATAAAATTCTTGTCAAAGCTAATAAAATAATTTATTTAATTTGCCTTTCGTTGCAATTCAAAAAATTGTAATTGGTATACATTCGTTACAATTTTTTTTATTATTTCAGTAAAAAAAAAATTCCTTTCTTCCCCTCTATAATTAATTATCAGAAAAAATTTTTAAAGACTTTTTAAATATTACAATAAATAAATTATTTATTATTATTATTTAATTATTATTATTGTTTAATTGTAATTGTAAATAATGAAATATTTTTAAAATATTGTGAAAAAAATTGTTAAAAAGAAAAAATTTAAAACAAAATAAAGTTAAATATTTAAACAAAATGAAAGTTTTCCAACCGTGTGCTTGATAATTTTTGCAAATAATAAAACAAAAAAAAATCATGAAAATTATACACTAATTAAAAAACAACAATGAAAAAAATAAGTTTATAAATTCGAAAAAGTAATAGAACAAAAGTAAATAAAGCTGAAAATGATTACAAAACTCGAGCAAAAAATAAGTAGAATTGAAAAAAATAGAACAATTAAAGTCAAGAAATTAAATTTAAAAATTCGTTGAAATGATTGAATAGAAAAAAATTAATTTTTTTTAAAGAGAAAGAAAGACAAATAAAAAAAAAAAATAAAATCGAAAAAAAACAAAATTCTAGTAAAAAAGTACAAATGATAAATAATTAAAAAAAAAACAAAGAAAACTCGTTTTCACTTTAGTTTAAAAATTATTTTCACCCATAGCGAGAATAGAAAAAAGTGATGAAAATGAGACACTAATTTATGATGAAGAATAGTTTCTTTTTCCACACTGTGATCATTATTTATTGGCCGATTAAATCTTGTGAATCGTAAATCATTCAATATATTATAAAAGACCAGCTCTTTATCATCGTGAATATAATTTAAAAGTAAAATCATTTTTTATACATTTGCATTATTTCAACGGATTATAATTTATTCTCTGACGAAATATTTTTCACTTACATATTTCAATGAGTAACGATATATTTAAACATTTCTATCTTTCAATTATAGAAATTTCTTTCTGAGTTTTGTTTTTTAATACTGGGAAAAAATTTCGTTTGGATTACATATTTAAATATTTTCAGTGATTCAGTAGGTAATTTTGTTTGTAATTTTTTTTTTCCTTAAAAAATTCTGAGAAATACATTTTTTATTCTATTCATTTATTCTCTCCTATTGTATTCAATATATTATCTCGTCTTGGTATCATCACTCAATCAGAAAGTTATATCGTTCCAATAAATCTTTAGTAAATTACGAAGCAAATTGAGCGAAAGGTCAATCAACCGGAAATTAATTTATGTTAATTAATGACGCTTTAAAGGTGTACGCAAAATCAAAAGAAAGGAAATTGAATTTATAAAAATACCGGGAACAATAAATCTTTCAAAATAAAAAAGCAAATATAGTTAAAAAAAATGTTAAATAAATAATTTAATAAGATCTATATAAATTAAAGACAATATTTTTAGTTTATTCTGAAATATTTGTAAACAATTACAAATTAGTTTTGATACTTTTAGTTTCATTGATAAATATAAATTTTAATTTAACATAGGATAAGTTATACAATTTTATTTCTTTGTTTTTTTTTTTAAATCAAAATGAATGTAATTTTAAAAATTTTGAAATGAATGGTCGCGATCGAAAATTAATTTAGGTATAATCTTTATATAATTTTCAAAATTTGTATAGTTTCCTAAATGCAAACAGAGGAAAATCAATTTATTTGGAAAATTTTAATTTAATTTGATCTCATTATAGGATTTATTTGCTTATTTGTTTGTTTATATAATTATTTATTTATTTAAAACTAATTTAATTTATACAATTTTGAATATTGTTTTTAGTTTCAGAATAAAAAAATATGTAAAAAAATTTGTTTCAAAAATCTTAATTCAATTTATATAATTAAAATTATTTAAAAATTAATTTAGTATATTACTTAAATTTGAAAAATATTTTAAATTTAAAAGAAGAACGAATTTCTCTAAAGTTCTCAACTTTTTAAATTTTTACTACATAAAATAGTTTTTTGATTAAAATACAAATTGAAAGAAGTGACAAAAAATATCGTCCTTCATTTGAACGTTCGAAACATTAGGAACATAAAAAATAAAAAAATATATTTTTAAAATATTTGATTTTTTTTTTGAAAATTTTATTATAAATTGTAATTATATTAATAATTATTCATTATTATCCATCTTTTTTATTTAGTAGCATTTATTTATTTCCTAATAATTTTGACTTTTTATGGTAAATAAAAAAATGATTGAGGAAACAAAACGGTCGCAAAGTGGATTAGAGTTGATTGAATGAACGAAGGTGTGGTGTGAATTGTTAAGAATAAAGAGTAATAAAGGGGAAAAAAACTTACTGCAATTTGCCCTCGGCCGGTCCTGCTTTGAGCACGTCGGAAATCGCAATTGCAGGATCACCATTGGTGAAATGTGGATTGTCACGACCTCCTGAGACAGCTATTCCAAAGCCATATCCGGGTACCCTGGTCACCGTAACGTGGTGGACCTCCCATCCTCGGTCACCGACCTAAAAAATACAGACATTACATCTCATTAGCAAGATAGTATTATATTTTACTATTACTATTATTATTTTCTATCTATTTTCTATCACTATTTTTTTTATCTATTTTTATTATGTTATTTAATACTAAAATATTTAAATATTAGTTATCATATTTATTTATTTTCTATTATTATTATTTTCATCTATTTTTATTATAACTTTGCTTCTCATGGCAGCATTGTTATAACCAAAAAATTTCAAACTTTCATTTGTTATTATTATTATTATTATTATTATTATTATTATTATTATTATTATTACTAGCAACAATTCGCGCTCGACTGACTTCTCACTCACTTTTTTAAATAAAATAAGCAATTTTAAAAATAATAGAACGTACAAATTTTTAATTCAAATTTTTTTTTATAAAATTAAAATATGAATTGGAATATACGTTTTTAATTTTATTATAATTATAATAATAATCATATATTCTGACATAGGGAATTCAGGGAAAAGTCAGAAATTTTTATTAAAAGAACTGAGAAAAATTAAATTTTTAGAATTTATAAGCAAATTCTGAATTTTTTTGTCTTTTTTGTTTGACTCATAAACTATAAAATTACCACGAATTTTAATACAAAACCTTCAATTTTTTCAATTTTTGACAAATATTTATTCATAAAATAAATAAATTATTTAATAAATAATTTTACTTAAATATTTCAAAATTAATTCAATTTTAAATGAGTTGCATTTACAATTTTCATAAATAAATAAACTTCAAAATAAAAGGTTTTAATTTAAAATTTTATAAAATTTCAATGTTGAATGAATTTAATTAGAAATTGTAATGTACTTAGATTTTTGAAAAATTTTAATAATTCAAAATCTTTTAAAATTTTGAAGATTTACAAATGATTGCAGAAATAGAATTATTTTCAAAAGTAATAAAATTCTTATCACAAAATTCAATTATGTTCAAAATTTACAAAAAAAATCTCCACAAAATCACAATTATTATCTTTATAAATATAAATAAAAAAATTCTTCTCGAAAATTAAATTATTTTCAAAATTTTTTATAAAATTCTTGTTAAAACTTCAATTATTTTTAATACAATTTTAATCAAATTCCTTAAAAAAAGTAACTATTCTAAAAAATTTTATTAAAATTCGTCAAAAGAATTCAATTATTTAAAAATTTGTTAATAAAATTCTTCATAAGAATTAAATTTTAGGAAACATTCAATTATTCAATAAATAATTTACTTTTGTATTTAAATTTATTGAATTCTGGTAAAATTTTCTAATATAAAAATTGATTTGAAAATGAATTTTAGTTTAAATTTTAGATAAAAATAGAATATGAAAATAATTTTTAAGAAGTTACTTTGAGAAACAAAAAAAAATAAATATCTTATAATATAAAATAATGATTTTATCACTTTGATCTTCTTTAATTATTATAAAACATGAAGAAAATGATCACTCCGAGTCGAAGACTCGGAGTGATCTATTTTCTCTATGTTTTAGAACAATATATTTTTAAAGTTAATTAATTTCAAAAAGGTTTGAATTTCAAATTTTTGAAAATTTTAATTCCTATGGAAAAATAATAATTATTAAATATTTAAAATATTTAAAAAAGAAATTATTGTTTTCGAATATTTTTACAAATAAGGATATTCGTAAATAAACTTAACAGAACATTTTTTCCTTTATTTTCTAAAAATTCAAAAATTTTCAGTTTCTTTTTCAATTAAATTTTGTAATTGACAAATATATAATTTATAAACATTTTTTTCTTTTATGTTTAAAAAACTTTAAATTTTATTAAAACAATTGAAATTAAGAAATAGAATTGATGCAAATTATTTCTTTATAAAAATTAAGAATTTTCTACAAAAATATTAAGAAACGGGTATATTTTTTATTTATTAGAATCATAATTTTAAAAAAATTTTCTAATTTGTAATAGAAAAAGTTCTTTTCAGCCAGACATTTTGTAAAATTGTTCGTTTATTTATTAGATCAGTAGTAAAAAAAAAATTTTAGTCAGACATTCGTAATTTATTAATATTACAGTAGTACAAGGCAATTTTAATCAGACAAAGTTTTGAAGTCTTTGAATTTTTTAATATAGTAAAAGTCAGTTTTAGTAAGACATTTTTTCATTATTTGAAATTAAATAACACAAAGTAGGGTAATTAAAATTCCGAATTTTCTGAATCAGTAGTAGAGGTCAATAGCAGTCGGACGCATTAAATTAATATTCAAAATATTAAAAGTAAAAATAATTTTTGTCGAGAAATATTATAAACCCTATTATTGTTTGAATCAGTAGTTGGGGTCAGTTTTAATCAGGCAAATAATAGAATTTTCCAAAGTTTGTTGAAGCAAATATAGTAAAAACAAGTTTATCATTCAAAACAATAAATTGTTTTAATTTTCTTTTGATTTTCTTTTGATTATATGAATAACAAAAAATGTACTTCATGCTTGTAATATTGATTTAAAAATCGAAAAGAAAGGGTAAATTCTTCTAAATTAGTATTCCAGTAGTATAAGTCTATTTAAGTCAGACACACTATTAAAGCTTAAGTATTTTATTAACAATATTATTAAAATTGCTTTTCAGTCATCAGACTTTTTAAGTTGTATTAAATTTTTCTGTATTAAAATTTGAGCCTCCGCAGGAATAAAAGTATTGAATTCTAAATTAATTCACTATATTAATAGAAATATATTATTTAAAAAAATATAAATTGGTTCCTAAATATAATTACATTAAATATCTAAATTAATCAATTTAAATCAAGTTAATTAGTTAATATTAAATTTATTTTAACTAAAAAATTTAAGTAGTTAATAATAAATTCAAGTTAGTTAATAATATTGCTATCCATGTAATAAGAATTAAGTTTGTTACAGTAGCTAAAAATTAACTAAAATTGCTAACTTTTTGTCTCCGTGCATAAGCAATTTAAATTCATCAATAGAAAATGTAATAATTTAAAATGAATTAAATAAAAATTAATAAATAAGATAAATTTAATGAATAAAAATAATTAAATAAAATACATTTTTAAATTCAATTAAAGAAAAATAAAACTTTTACATTATTGCAAATTTAATACGCATACAGAAATGGATATGGACGGAACTGAACTGAAAATCACACCTTACAATCGAAGAACCCGCGGCGAAGGAAAGAAAGAAAAGTGTTTCATTATCAATTATATATATAAGTATATCAGATTAAAAAAAAAAAATTTTCAACTCGCTCGTTTGAAAATACCGTTATTATAGCGTACGTTGAAGAAGTCAAAGAGGTGCTAAGTGAAATAGAAAAGGTGTAAAATGTTTCCTGAGGAGAACGAAAATATCCTGTTGGCTTTTACACCTTTTAAGTGTGCGTCTAGCTATTTCCAGGAGAAATTCTTAGAGGCGATAACGCGCGAGCGCTGTGACAAGGCAGATTTATAGAAGCTCCGGTAAAATCGGTTTTTCGCCTCGGTGCTCACATACATATATAAAAGAAGTCGCGAATGGTGTGCAGTTTATATATGAAAAACAGAGAAAACTATATTATGATTTATCACGACTTCTATCGGCTAACTAAGCGTGACCCTCATGCAAAATATTGAGTCTCAACTATTTGCAAAAAAGAAAAGAAAGAATATAGAGAGAAAAGAAAATTCCAATTTTGCATTTTTAAATTTCACCATTTTTTTTCTTTTTTACATTTATATTTATGCTCAAAAATTATATATATAGAAAATATGATCAATTTTAAAAACAATATTACCATTCTCTACTATCAAGAAAAAGTACCAAAAAATATATAAATAAATTATTAACAATAAAAAGTTTTATATATAAATATAAATTATTGGTCAATTGGTCAATTCTAACGAAAAATGTACGTTTTCCAGATAGAATTTTAACTTTTTCCCTGATCCCTCTTTAAAAAATTGAAACGCAGTTAAAAATAAAATTTGTGTCTGTATCATATTGTCATATTGGATCCACCATTTTGAATTTTTAAAATCTGATAATAAATTCTAATTCAGTGACGATAAAAACCCCTAAATAACGCATTTCAATCGAAACGCATCAATTTCTAAATTTTCCGCCATATTGGGACGCCATTTTGAATTTTTAAATTAACATCAAATTTAAATTGCAAGCAATTATAAAATCACCTGATTAACAAGTTTTAAGCAAATCTGGCTAATTATTATAAAAACATTTCTTCGGGTCCGCCATTTTGAATTTTTTAAATCTGAAACTAAATTCGGATTTAACAACCCTAAAATCCTTATAAAATTTTGTTAGAAACTTTTTCTTTCACCTTTTTTTGTCCCAAAAACGATTTTTTCACTAGTCTGTGAATGGGATAAACAATTTTTTATTGTTAATAATTTATTTATCTTTTTTTTTGGCTCTTTTTGCAAATTTCATAAGAGTTTACAATAAATTGTTTATAAGTTCAATCTGCATGTAACGTAAACATAAATTAAAAAAAAATGTTATTACTGTTTCATTTTCATTCTTTTCTGTTTACATATTTTATACCGAAAAGGCATGTACACATTGTGAAGTAATAAAGATGCAAGAAAAAGATTGTTTACGTGGAAAGAAAAGGCGCAGACGGCGAATATATAAAAGAGAGGAATGTATAAACCCTTCACAACAGAGGATTGACGCCAACTTTATGCAAAACTAAACGCATAATATGAAACTATAAATGGCATAAACGGTTTGCTCTATATGACTTCATAATTATTATTATCGCCCTCCTTTATTTACTTCACATATATTCTTACATAAGTGCATAATTCTTTTTCCCACACCAAAAATAGAATACAGCAAAAAATTTTAAATAGAATTCAAATTAAAAAATCTTTTTACTTCAAGTTTCTGAATTTGGCGTCGAAAAAAATTTTTTTTGCATAATCGAAAAGTATTTCGACGCTAACTTCAGGGACATTATATTTCAATAACAATAAATAAATA